TGCACAAAAGCACCTCCATCCTCAATGGCATCCAGTGACTATGAAAGTGACTCATTCTCCAACAACACCAAACCCTCCCCACCACAAAAGGGGACCAGTCTTCAGCCAGCTGAAATTGAAATTCTTGATGCTGAGCTAGAGTCATGGAAAAATGCCAACCAAAACAAGAAGAGCTCTATCATGTTAACCCTCAGAAACAAAATAAAAAACCTTGATGCCAATGTGATGCTGAAAATGCATGAATGGGTTTGGAAGAAGAAGGTGTGCCACACCTGCCATTGATTACCTGGCATATCCTTACCATTTCCAGGCAATTCAGACTTGGTTGTACAACTATGGCTGGAGCTGTAGTTGACAGGCTCTGATCAAATATGGTGGTGGTTGGACACTGAGGAAGGTGGTCATGCACTGTCAAAAGAAATCAATCAACAAAGTGTTGGAAAAAGCCAGGATCAAGCAGGGATCAGCAGAAATGATCAAGTCTTATCAGAAGGCCATTGACACTGTTATGAAGTCCCTTACTGCCAAGGAGATACAAGAGGCTGAGGCATTGGTCATAGAATGGAATGAGCAGCAGCCACCCTGGGATGTTCAATCAGAGTAGGTACCATTTGGCAATGCTGCCCATCACTCACAAGAAACAGAACCACAGAGAAGAAAGGCCATAAATATGCTGAGGAATTTGATAAGGAAATGTGGAAGCAGTGTGGGTCCAGGGTGGTAGTGATGGCAGCATGGGAAGATGCTGATGGAGAGGTGATAGTTGGAGTGTGAGGAATTTGTTCTTTGTTCAGATGAGTACTGCCAGATTTTGACCAACTTGTCCAGACATGACTTCAACAATGAATTGGGTAATGGCAAATTATTTGAGGAGTTGGACAAGTGCCAGGATAAATTTGCAAAGTATGCACAAATGGCATTTGGGAATGGCAGCACCAATGCTGAGTTGCCAGACAAAGATGCCACTCCATGGTCAAGGCAGAGAAAGAGCAATGGGAAACCTAAAACCATCCTGCCAGTCAGTGACAATGGCACACCATACATCCCAAACATATTGGACATGCAGGCACCAAAGTTGAAGGATATCATGTGGATGTTTGTGACATTTCACTATCATATGTATAACAATAGAAGAAATACTGTTCATTGACATGCATTACAGGGAAGGTCTGTGGGAATTCACAGGCAACTGTTCCATGGAGTGCAATAACAACCAACACTGCACTTTATGTTGCACCCCAGTTTCTGCCACCTGATGTTCCCTTCAAAGAGCTGAGCCAACTTACCCAGGATGGGTTGACAGCAATCTTGGAATGGTGGCAAGAGTGAAAAGAGCAGCATCCCAACAATATATTTGGCTTCGAGAAGTGGAGAGATGCTGGAGGGTCCCTCCAAATGCCAGTGGCAGAGGCCAACAGCAGTGGAGCATGGATGGGTGGGAAGCAGGATTTGGATGGGACCCCAGATCAGTTGGCAGATGAAAGGATGATGGATAGAATGATGCAGAGTAGGAGGAAGCAGTGACAGCAAACAGGTATGCAGGAATGCATCTGGAACTTAAATGTTCAGCAATATTATCTAATGGGGGACAAAGTTGTAGGGTCTGATTCTGATGATGAATCCAATCTCTGTCAATTATGACCAACATTGCTGCCAGATGGAAATGATGGTAGAGGAACAAGCATGGTGGATGAAGATGCTGCAGAGGCAGTAGCATCACTGGATTACCCACAGCAGATTGCCAGATGCCAAGTAGCTGAGGGCAACACCTGCCAGCCAATTGGTAAGCCAGTGGGATCACAACAGCTGAATGTTGTTAACATTAATGGCTAACATGTTTCAGCCATTGGCAAGGAACCACCAAATGCTGGGCAGCATGTTGTGGGCAGCAACACAAGCACTGCACAGCCTATGCCAGAAGGCCACCACACTGATTTGCCTGATTCTGTCCAGCTGGCAGATCCTTTGGTAGTGCCAACAACTATCAAGAGTGCCCATAAACAGGAAAACTCAAAGCACAAGTTCCCCATTCCATCAATGAGTCAGTACTCATGCCCCTGTCCCTGAATTGTTGATTAAATTTGTCCCTCAATTCTAGTACCCATGCACTGGACTGGCATAGACAATGTGAGGGGTATGTGGCATTCAAACTGGGTGCAGAAGGTACCAAAGTGGCCTGATGATGACTTTCCTACTCCTAGTCCCTCCAAGAAATGTAGGTGATGTTAGCATTTGTATTTTTCATGGCCATGGAATGTGATACTACTTGTTGACAACCAATAGCTACAATTACAATAAATCCTCATCCAGTTCCAATTCATCCTCACCATCCCAATCCCTGGTCATCAAATCTTGTATGTATTGCTGAGTCCTTGCCAGCTGTGCTCTCCTTGCAAGCAACAGGCAAAACTGGATGCTTGATTCCACCAATATATTGCTGTAGTGGTTGTAGGCCACAATGATTGGCCCATTGGTGGTGGTGTTAAGATGGGGTGGGTGCTCATCAGCCAGTCCCAAGAGAAGAACCACAAGCTGCCATACTTTTTCCACTGCTGGATGATTGATATATATGTGAGGGATATCATAAAACAACTTACATGTTGTAATTGGCCCTTTGTCATGAATTCCTTGTATACCCAAGTCACTGGTGAACTGTTGCAGCACTGAAAAGCATACTATTACACTTAATACTGGGGGGAACAAGAGATGACATGGAACTCACCACTGGCAGCATCAGTGGCTGTAGGCCATGGAGATGGTTGCCATGATGTAGCCAGGATGGCCTGTGGCTCAGAGGCTGCTGCATCATCTGACTGCTCATCCATCCATCCATGCTTAGGGGGAGATGGCACAGTTGGTGGAATTTGTGCAGATGCCAACAGCAATCTAGGTGGCAGTGAGACTGTCAGGGAAGATGTTGGAGAATCCCAACTGGGGCCAATGGCAGCCAAGGATGGCATGGAATGACTTGCTTGTCACACCTCCCACTGTTGATCAGCAGCAGATGGCTGCACCTCAGGTGAAAGTTGTGGGGAGTCCCAAGATGGTGCAAGCATGCTGAGTCATGGCTGGTGTGAGTCCAAGTGTGGTTCAGTGGTGAAAACCAACCAAAACCAACACAAAAGACAAAAAGAGCAAGTGGTGGTGTGCCTATACAGTACCTAGATGGTAGAACCTTTGATTTGGGTGGGTTTTTGTGAGCTACAACACTCAAAGATGAGTGCTGAGGGTTGGGGTGCTCCTGACAAAGAGGGAGCAAGAATGTGATAGAAAGTGATAGGGTAGACTGCTGTCAGCCTACAGAAGGATGGATGGTGACTTAATTCAATGTCCTAAGCTGCACTGAGCTCAGGGAGGGCTTGGAGCAAAGTATATTGATGATAGACAAGGATAAGTGAAGTAGATGATAGTTAGACCCTTAATAAAGTCTCAACTATTGAAACTGCTGAATGAATTACTGAGTGATGATAAAATGTGAGCAAGAGGGGCTCTCTGATGTCTTCTTCTTTTTTTGCTGTCTAAGTACAGTGATTTATATACAGTACAGGGGTGTTGCCCATGGAAAACAAGGTGCAAACACTTGGTAAGTGATTGGTAACTGATGAGTAAGGAATGTAAGTGATGGGTAATCATCTTGGAAAGCATTGGTAAGCATTGGTAAGGATCAGCAAGCCAAAAAGGTGAAGGATGAGTAAGCAAAGTCAAAAGATTGGTAAGTATTGGCAATAAGTGAGTCAAAGACAGTCAAAACATCAAATTATGAGTCAAGTAATGTCAGGAACTGGGAAAGCACACTGGAATTGCATTAGGGGGAGGCTGTGCATGTCACATCTCAAAGAGATTGCTTCTAGGCCAAGGTGGGATGACAGAGAGGCAGTGCTGATCTGATGCCAATATAGTACATCCAAAAGTGGACAGGGTGAGTCAGATGTCAACAGGGGTCAAGCTTTGGGGGTCTGTGGGGTGACAGGAGCATAGGGAATTGCAACTTTCCCCCCCAAACCATCCTCTCAGTGAAGCAAATAAAAACTTCATGAATGAGGCTCTGTTAGAAGAGAGGATGAAGGGGGAGTGTCTTCTGCTGTATCTTGCAACAAGGAGGCAAGATGCACATCATACTTGTCATGGATGCAATCAGGGAGAGTGGAGAACAGTAGATTATACTGTAGCTGTTGCAATCTTGGAAGAATGATGGATGAGACTGGTATGAAGACATTGCAGGGAGCAGGGAGGAAGGATCTATATGCTTCTTGGACTAGAGAGACTAAAATGACCACATAAGACCTTTCCAAGTGAATGACAGACCTGAGGCAACCAAAGAACATCCCCCTAGAGGTCATACTGACAAAAAGAACACACTGTCCAAGCTGGATGGGCTGAGAGGGCACTGATGAGGGTGGGATGTACCAGGATGCTTCAGGATGGAAGCTGGTAGGAACTCCTGGTAGATATATGTACCATGGTCCCTAGCAAAGGGGACAAGTGAAATGATTGACATGGAGGCAGCCATATCAGAAGAATTAGTGAAATGAGCATCTTTTGGAGGGAGTGCTGTAGAAATGTGTGGAGTGCACAAATCCTTTCCAATTTTGGAAGGTAGGATCATGTGGCTGAGCACTACAAGTGAGTGTGGGAATGGTCTCAGTATCTGCAGAAACAGCAGAGATATGTCAAAAACCAGAATGCCATATACAGGTGCTTAAGAATTTTAACCAGTGCTTAACTCACTCCCTTTCTTTTTCTTTGGCACTGATGACTTGTTCTTGTGCAAGGGATGACTGCCAACATTTCTGGCTGTCCTTCTTTGCATGAGGGCTATGGTCTTCATCTCCATTCATCAGCTGTATCCATGTCCACCTCACCAAACACCTTTGGTGTGTGACACCACACAACAATCTCCTCAAATGGAACAATGGGGATTTGCACCTGTTCCACATTGTGATCAAGGTATGGGCATGAGCTTAATCTGATACACTGTTGACATTGATAATTTTAGTCCTGTGTGCCTTACATGCTGTGGTATCTCACTACCACAGAAACACCACTCCAAGCAACACACTGTTCAATCCCACCCTTGAAAAGCACCTTGTGTGGGCTGCAAATGCCATTGCGAGATAATTGGGCACAGCTGCAAGGGACCAGTATGGTGCAGCCTCTCAGGGTCTTCAACTCATCAATATGCTCAATTTGATTGAAATCATTCGTTATCCACATTCCACCTTTGAAAATTGTCCCAAGCCATTCATCACCAGCCAATCACACCCATCTTGCCAGTCTGTGGTAGAGATGGGTATCCTCTACTTGGCATGCCAGATCAAGGTAGCCTCTGTACATCTGAAGCAGACTGCTGATATCATGGGATGGCCCACACATTGGTTTGCAAACCTAGCCATGGACTTGGTAGGTTTTACATCAATTTTTCACAATGTGGGACTGATACATAATTCCTTCAGAATCAGCTTAATAGCTTGATTCTGGTGACAGTGTTGTGTGCCAGTTATACTCCTCCCCTCCCAGTGTGCTACCATGCATACCTCAGACACCAAGATGATGAGGTTAGCTTCTGCAATCAAATGCAGCTAATTCCCCTTAGTGCATTTTGCATAATCAACAATATCAGCACCATCATCCTGCATTGGACCCCACATGCAGCTGATCCCAATTCCAGCTTTGCATTCCCTTGGTGGCTATATCATTCTGAGGAATATGCAGTGGATTCCCAAAGATTGCAAGGCAAGGGATTGTTTTCTGCAGCCTGGGATTTTTTTAAGGTATGCCACTTATTCTCATCACTGCAAATAGTTGATGATGGCCCAGGGCTTATGGCCATTGCTTGAGGCACCAATCACAGACCATCTTGATGGCCATATTGAGGAGCAGGTAAACTACTGCATCAAAAATATTCAGAAATATGCCAATGTTGTCAACAGTCAGGGTCAACAAATTGACCATTTCTACACTAGGTGGTGAGCATTGTGTGGGTTGTTGGGCATGCTGCTTCAATAGTTTACATGTTTTTGACTGTGGAGTTGGCTGTATATACATTGCTATGAATGTCAATCATTTATGAGATACCACCCATTCACATGATGTCTGAACCCCTGCCCATCTGTGTGATGTCTGACAATCCACCCATCTGCATGATGGCCTGAGTAGGTTTACTTTTGTTGCAGTTTATGATGCACACCCTTTAGCTCTGAGTACCTGCCCAATCTATGATGTCAAAGCACCCACCCATTTGCAAAATCTTGGCAACACCACCCATCTGAAGTTTGAGAGCCAGCATATCCTAATAAAATATGAGATCTGCATCACCTACTAAATCTTACCTTAAATTCTGCAGCTTCAAATCAACAGTTCTCCAGTTGCAACTGGTCTAGGTAGTAGGTCATCCATCCATGGTGATTGACACATGGGAACATGCACTGACTGATGTACATTGGCATGCATGTAGTACACCAGGCATGCTCTGTCACCATCTACAGCTCCCACCCCATGCTCCAATGCTGAACCTGAAAATGCAATGATCATCCCTGGGTTGTAGCACAGCCACAGATTCAACATTGGAATGACAAAGTCCAAGGGTGGGCAGTTGCCCACAGTTACTAGCATGTCATACCATGGATCCCATCCACTGATATCCCTGTGGTAACAAGTTCCCCAAGTCACCTTCACAGACATGCTGCTATATGTGGAGCTCCATATCAGCAGTATGGAGCTCATATCTGAATCCACCTGCTGTTCCACCTGTTTTCCAAGGCAGATCAACACTTCCCTTCCATCTGCATACATTCACAGATGGATGACATGCAGGATTGCAGATAATAGGGCATTGGTGTCAGACATTTGGTCAACCCATTCCCTTGTAGGAGTGTTTTCTGTCCAGATTTGAGCAGCCATGAGGCTTCTGGGAAGCCATTTTGGGGCTTCAAGACAGATGAGTGCTTTATTCACAAGGCAAGAAATGATCACCCACCCCATGACCCTGTTTAAACCATGCAGGTGACAGGTTGATGGTGCCTTTCAACTCAGCATTATTGCAGAAATATGACTTGTCCATCTGCCATGCCTGTGGGGAAGCCTTTATGCTCTCCCACAGTGGTTCCCTCAGAAGATGAAGGTGGTTCCATACATCAGCCTGCCATTCCATTAAGTCAGTAGAATATGAGATTCTGCATTTCCTTACCCTTCTTTTTGGGCTGAGAGCATCCAGCAAATATCATACACAGATGGTGTTTGAGTTGGTCACCAAAATGGATGGCTCAGTCACTTCCATGTATCTCTCAGCAGCTTCTGCATTGCAGGTTTTTCCACCCCAATTTTTCCTGACATTGACTGTGGAAAGATTGAAACTTCCATTGCACCATTATGATGGACTTACTTGGGTGATGATAGGCCTGTGAGATTACTGATGATATGCGATCTGCTTCACATAACACTGGAAATGGAATCGATATATCTGGAAGGGCATGAGGTCTGCTGAATACCTCCTCTTGAAATCTGGCTTTCATGTATGACACAATGCAGTCTGTTAGTTCCATTTGCCATCTGTGGGGGGTTTTAGACATGTCTTGCATAGTATTCATGCTTGGGGTGGATGAGGTCAGAGTTGTGTAGTGGGCAAGCCACTTGCAGCTTGTTGGAAAATTACAGCATGTCAGGATGCTTGCCTCAATATTTTACTGTGATCTGATCAATATGTTGTGATGCTATATGTGCTATTGGTGTTGGGCCCATCTTATGTTGTGACAGGGGTGGATCTTACTAGATGGACCCATCCTTGTTTTATAGTGATATAAAAGATATTACTGAAGGGCCCATCTATACATTATGACCATATAAATAATGCTGCTGAAGGGCCTGTCCTTATGTTGTGACAGGGGCATATCTTACTAGAGGGCCCATCCATCTGTTGTGACAATGTAATTGATAATACTGACTGGCCTGTCTTTATGTTGTGACATGGGTGCATCTTACTAGATGGGCCCATCCATGTGTTGTGACCCTGTAAATGATATATATTGAAGGGCCCATCTTTATGTTGCAACAGGTACATCTTACTATGGATGGGCCTGCCCATGTGTTGTGATGGTATAAATGGTATTATGGAAGGGCCTGTCCATATGTTGTGATGCTATAAATGACATTACTGATGGGCCCATTGTTATGTTGTGGCAGGGATGCATCTTACTAGATGGGCCCATCTATGTGTTGTGATGCTGTCAATGATATTACTGACAGGCCCATCCTTATGTTGTGACAGGTATACATCTTGCTATGGACAGGCCTGTCTATATGTTGTGACAGGGGTATATTATCCCAAAGATGGGCCCTTCCATATGTTGCCAACTCTGTAATCTATCATAGAGGGGCCCCTCTTTATGTTGTGACCCTATAAAGCATATGATGGGCAGGCCCATCCATATGTTGCAACCTTCTTCATGATACAATAGGCAGGCCCATCCTGATATTGTGACTGGGGCACACTCTACCATGGATGGGCCCATCCATGTCTTACAGTAGCTCAGCATACTTACTTGGTCACAGGCCCATCTATATGTTGCAGCATCCTTACCCTCCACAGGCCCTCCCATATGTTGTGGAATTGCATTTATGGGCCCATACATATGTTGCTCTCACTATAGGCCCTCAGGCCTGTCCATGTGTCATGGCTAATCTATTTAGACAGGCCCATCACAGGGTCTATATAAGTGTTGGCATTTTGGCATGCAGGCTACCTATATGTTGTGACTAAATGGACTACATGGGGTCTGACAGTGTATGTCAGGTCATTCAGATCATCCCAAAGTTTGCTGTCAAGGCCCCTAGGGGGATGACATATGACAACTGTCTGGATGTGGGGCATGAGTTCTGCATCAATAGTTTTGTGGACAAAGAGACCTTTCATGCCATCCTGAGCTACCAGTGATACATCAGGAAATTAACACTTTACTATTTTTGACTTTTTTGTGACTATTGTGACTATTTGTGACTTTTTGGGAAGGAACCTACTATCTGTACTTTTTTTTTGACCATATACAGCATTTTGAAGAATGAAAAGAGAACAGAATCCATTGAGACAACTAAGTGATGATATATCTAAGTCAAGAAGACTAGAAAATGTCTGAAAATTCAGAGATATTGAGCCATTGGTGTGATGCACACTGTCTGAGAGAAAAATCACAATATCTCTTTGGAACCTCCATCAATTTGAATGTATGTGGTATCTACTGAAAGCTACGGATTAGGTGGTTTGAACAAGACCAAAATCAGCAAGAAAAGTGCAGCCATGCCTGCAGGACATGGGTAATGATAGTAGATTCCTTCCCAAAAAGTCACATTAGTCACAAAAAGTCAAAAATAGTAATGTGTTATTTTCCTGATCTAGTAGTAGATCCTCTGTTCTCTTCTTCACACGTGTTTCCATCCATGATGCTATCCTATGTACAATCAATACCAGACTGTTATTGATAAGATCTGAGGACTTTATCAGACTTCTTGACTGCATCACTATGATAAGTGTGTGCCATAATAGATAAACCCTTTTCGGAGACATGGGCTAACACAATATTATGCTGAGACCAATATCTCCCTAATGGAGCTATACGTGGTTTTTGGCCAGTAGAACCCAGTCAAAGCTGGTTGCTTGGCAACAAAATGGTCTTTTCTGGTTTCATCAGCTACTGGTTCACTGATGAATAGAGGGGTAGAGGGGTTGGCTTACTGTGACTGTGGCCCAGTCACAGATCCAGATAAAAGTCAGCCAGCATTATATGTTATTACAGAACCACACAACGAAAACATGGGGAAACTTCAGGAGGATTCCAATGCGCGTGAGTCATTACTTATTGTCCTCACCCGGCTTGAATTGACGGGGGCATTCCAGGAGCACTTCGGTCATTACAGAGCCAATTCGACGACTTTAGAACACAGAATTTAAATAATCGACTAACTGACTCTCGAGAGCTCAGTGGCCTCAAGAGACAGGCTGCTCGTTTGGATCGAAAGATCAGAGACCTCGAGCGCAAGGTTGCTCGTTCAGATCGCGACATCATCAGACTCCGGGCGGACCTTTCTGCTTCTGATCGCGAAATGACAAGCCTGTGGGACAAGGTTCGAGACCTCAAGAGCAAGGTTGCTCGTTCATATTGCGAAAACATCAGGTCTGGGCGGGCCTTTCTGCTTCTGATCACGAAATGACAAGCCTGTGGGACGAGGTTCGAGACCTCAAACTGGTAAGTAATCCTTCTCTCGCATGAGCCATGTTTGGTGGTTGACATCTCTCAGGTTACGTCGTCTCTAATGCCGGTGCAGCGGCACAAGCTGCTAGAGTCTGCAAGACAGAAAGTCATGGACCTCACTGGCAAGGTTTGGGTTCGACGTATGCCACAGAGGATCCTACACGAGATTTACAAGAAGCTGCAACACGAACTCCCGCACTACCATTTGTCAGAGGATGCGCTCGATTTCCTTGCCAACAAGAATACCATTCTACAAGAAGGTAATGCAGCAGCTCGCAATGCCAGAGTGAGCGACATCCGGACAGCCCTCACAACGGACCCACACTTCGCTGATGCCTACACGAAAGGCCTACTCCAGAATTTATTCGAATTTGTCTACGAGCAACCACTGCATCAGCATGTTGCGAATTGATCCAATAATTTTCCTTCGTGTAATTAAACTATTCTATTCATTTGAGAAATGATGCCATTGGTAGGCTAGTAAACCCGCATCGCTCAGATCGCTCTGTGTTCATCAACCATAGGGTCCTCTACATCACTTATGAAGGGCGTGACCAGAGGCGATACCGTGGTGAGGCCGTGGAGATTGTTTTCGAGCTTGTCGACTAAACTCTGGAGGTCGCTTTCGAGGTCCCTCTCTGAATTTCCGCTGGGAGCGTCCTCTGTGCCGGCGGCCAACCCCTCCAAAACACTCACTATGGTCCCCATGCCGAGCGGAGCACATTTCGTGACAAGACCCTCAGCACCATTCCTCAGCTTGCCTTTGAGATCCCTCTTCGTGTTGCTGTCGGTAGTGCCCTCTACTTCACTTGTCAATCCCATGAGGAGATGATCTTGATGTTACAGATACCATGGTGTGTCACACTTAGTCTCCCTTGTAGGTGTTCCCAACTTCGCTGTACAGACAATGACGACGATGATGGAGCACCCCGAACTCCTAAGCGGCGAGTCCCTTAGCGGTGCATCTCCCTCCATCGCCTCGCATGCTACCACTGTCTCCCAATATGATATCTCGCAGTGGGAGAGAGCCACATACTACAACGGAATCTCTTACGACCCTCCTGACCTCCTCTACTGCTCGGATCTCATCGAAATCCCCATCCCCACCCCCAAGGGCAGATACCGGTACTCCCCCTATCAAGACCGTCTATGGAATCTTCAATATGCCGCTTAACACCGTTTGGGACACTGTCGCTCCCCAAATCCGCGACCTCTTGAAAGCTCGGATGATTCGTTACTCAGCCATCCAGACAGCTCGTTTCCTCACCCATGACGAGGATGGGAAGGATACTCTCGGTCCCGTCATCATGTAGAATGCGACTCATTCCAATACCACCACCGCTAAGAACGCACACAACGCTTCCCAAGACATTCTCGCTCTTCTTGAGGACAATGGAGTCAAGGGTGTGGTAGTCGAATGGTACGAGGGAGCTGTAGAGAGACTGTCAGGTCTACCCCTTCTGCACGTCACCAGCAAAATTGACCCCACCCACTGCGTCTGTCACTTCCTGACTGTTGTGCTCGGCATGCCCATTGCTTCTGTGGAGAGGGAGGCTGCCGACACTCAGGGGAGTGTTGCACTGTTCTTCCATGAGAACAAGGACAACGATGGCAACCCTAGCGCCAAGGTCTTCGCCATTACCAACTGCCACGTTCTCCACGAGGACACCACCATCACGTATGAGTTCAAGGGCACTGGCGCACCTCGCCAGCACGTTTGACTTGCTGGATTTCACCATTTCCAGCATGGCCTTGACGAAATCAAGGATTGCATCAGTGGCTGTGGAACTAACGCCAACCTTTTGGCTAGGGAGATTGTGCAGTTGGAGGTGAAGCTGGAGAGCGATGACCAGGAGCTGGTGGCAGAGGACAAGGCAGAAGTGGAAGCTAAGCGGAATAAGATGGCCAAATTCAAGAAGTATATCGGCATACTCGAAGCCTTCTACAACGAAATCAAGAGCCAGTGAGGTGATATTACATGCCGAACCACCAGCCACGTCCATTGGGCTCCCGAGATCTCCGTTGATGTCCAGAGTTGCAAGTACACCAAAGACATTTGTACGTTCGAGGTTGATGCAGCAAGGTTCAGGGACCATTTCAAGGGCAACGTCGTCGACTTAGGTGCGTTTTGCCTCATCTTTTGCATAATTACCTCCTCTAATAAAAGCAACCTTCAGGAGTCAAGTTTAGTCCCTGGCAACTCACCAACATGTTATACCCTCAAAGTGGAGGTAGAACGGTGTTCAAGTTCCCCATCAATGGCCTGCTCAGGATCAATGGTTGGGTCCCGCGTGAGCTCCTGGCTCATCCCGACTGTTTTGACAGCAACGGCGAGCCTTGCCTCATTGTCATGAAGGACGGTAACACCACCGACCTCACGGTTGGACGACTCCTGGCCTGGAGGCCTACCTTTGCAATGAGTTTGGCATTGAGTGCCTCGAACTCGCCATCTACAACTACGATAGGAACTCCGGCTCGCTCATCTTCGATGGCGAGGGCCATATGGCTGGTATTCTACACTCCGGGATGGGGAAAGACGGGAGCAACCATGTCACCTACACCACCCCTGCCTGGTGGGCCGTCGAGCAACTCAAGCACCAGTGTCCGCATGCCGACTTCAACCGCAAGACCTTCTAAATGCGAACACAATCGTCGGCCATTTGCTCTCCCATCTCTCCATTCCTTCTTACCCTCCACTATGCCCCCTACTTTATTGTTCTCGTTTCTTGGACTCATCCCCCCTCCTCGACTGTGTTTTCTCCTCTTTTTCTGACTGCCCCTTATCTGGTCCCTGGTCGTTGGTTCAGATGATGCGTGTTTCTACCTTTGATTCGCTGTTCACGTTCGTCCCTTTCTTCCGTCCCATCCTTTCATGCTGATAACCAACAATCTTGACGTCTAGATCTTTAAGCGAACCTGCCCGCTTCCTTCAACTTCGACTCGGTTCTCCACATTCGTTATCTATTGGTTGGTTGTCGGTGATGATGGATGCTTTGACCGGTGAATTGCTGCCTTGATTCGTTTCTCTCCCTTACCTCGTTCTTTTGTACTTGTAACCAACGACCTTGACGTCTAGGCCTTGGATTCGCGGACTCGTCGTTTAGGTATGTCTTGTCCTCTTCCCGTTTCTCGATCTGTGCAGCTAATATCTCTCATCAATGGTTCAGGCTTTGGACTCGCGGATTCATCGCATCGATCACTGTAGCGTCTTTTGCAGCCTCCCGTATACTATCAATCCCAAGGAGAAACATACGGGTCGAGAAAGCCTTTCTCGACCTGTATGTTTCTCCCTCCCCCAATCCACACTCACCCTGCCTCTTCCAGTCGTAGAAACCCCCACACATTGTTGCTACTCAGTAGTTATAGCTTCGGGCGCATCTATCGCAGGGCGTTGTTTCTGACGATCTAGGTCGTAAAATGTCCTAATCGACGTCCCACCTGCACCAAGAGTGCACAACGCCAATGCCCTGTGATTAATATCGCTGTTCAAATATTTAGCAATGTGCATATAATAATATAGTTCCGATATACGAATTTGTGGGATTTACGATAATTGAAAAAAATATGCCATCGCTTCTGATTGTCCTTCAAGACATCCTATGGGGCAGCAACAGATCTGACGCTAGTCCCCGGGAGCCGCTGAGGAGACTACAAAGAAGGTGAAAGAGTCGGGACTGAGAACACCTAGTCAAGGTATCGTTCATCGATTACGGTCCTGTTGTTGTCGAAAGCCATTCTGAAATTTGTTTTCAGAAAGTGATGACGGGGTAGTAACACACGACGAAGTACAGCATTTAAATGCATGCATCCGAGGTTTTGATCGTACCTTGGGTCACGAGGCGGGGTTGTCGCTGACCACTCAGCACATTTCATTTCATCACCATGGAAAGAACATATGCAATCTCTCGGCTTCTTCTACATCCTCAAAAATGGCGGAAACTATATTAGTGATGTTTAGTAAATTTCCGCAGTCAATGGGTAACCACGGCCATGAAACGTGACTGGCGAGCACTCCGCTGAGGTGATCTTTTTACATAGGCTTACACATTAAAAGTGTAACATGGGTCGCTGAGGCGCAACGAACGCAGATGGCATCAGGCTCGAAGGGCAACGAATGACGCATGCGCTGAGTAAGAGCATGCAAGACCTAAAATTCCTGGAAATCAGAAAGCCCTTTGAAAAATCTCTACGATCATCGAACCACACCTTCATCAGGACCTACCTAACCTGAACGGCCGCAGACTACCACTGACCTGAGAAAAAATGTAAATCACCGAAGTGCTCAGGTGGACAATGACTGTCACGTGCCAAGGTGCTGGCTGTGCCACTGATCGGTAACGCACACTTTTGAGTCAGAGCGGACCCACTTTCTCAAGAATTACATCGAATCATCCGCGGATGTCCTTCACTGAGACGGGAAATCTAGCAGCATACTGCATTAAGATTGTCTCACACGGAAATACCAACAATACACGTCGATTTATCTCTAAAAGAAGCCACTAACACTCCAAGTGTTTGCCTCCCCCATGTAATTCGCTGTCAGTAAGGCTGCCCGAACGAACAACGAACCATCAAGGAGTTCCGCACCTTCGAGTTCCGTACCTTTGTGGTAGCCTGCTGGCCTGTTGCCATAGAGGGTGCTGAAGTGCGCGAAAGAACGTTGGATGTTGGGTAAGTGGTCGTTGGGGTGGATGATGGATGATTGAATGATAGGCAAGAAGGGATTGGAATGCTCCTTTTGGAAGTCAGAGTCATCGTTTCCCTCGGACGGTGGAGCCGTAAAGTGAGTGGTTGTGGATGCCATGAAGGATTCGATTTTCAGGGCTGGGCTACCACGCGCTACCCACCATGTCAACACCGTCACTAGGTACGCACGCAGGAGCAGCGCCTGGGAGCTCGGTGTCAAGGGTCCGATCAGAGAGGGCAAGAACAGACTTGAAGTAACCATATGCATCCTGACCACAGGTCAGCTAGCGGAAAGATATAGTGGAGATTAATTCTTACAGGAAAAATTCGCCAGTGAATCCCTTGGCCTCGTCGAAACCTCCAATGGCGTACAGCGATGAGGTCAACCAGATTAACTCCTCCATTTTTCTCTCGATTTCCCCGCTCTTCGTCACGTCGATAGTCCATTGAGCTGCATAGCCGCGAATGCGTTCCGCGTGTTCGTCCACTGCTTGCTTGAACTCTCCGAAGACCTGTACATTTTCAACTTTGAGATTGCCATCTCGGACCATGCGTGCAATAATATCGAAGACATGTGTATGGACCTCAGTCGCCAGGTGCGTGTTTTCGATAATGAATCGCGTAGGATAAAAATCTTTTCCATCTACGTCTTGAACCGCAGCTAGTGCAAGGCCTAAGGATCCAACTTGAGCTTCTGTTCTCCATTTCACGTGTCTGCTCACCTTCAACCACCATGCCCTTCAGACCGAACTCCAGTCCGTGACCTACATGGATGAGTGCATGCAGGAGGGATGCCGTGAAGCGAGACAACATTTCTGGTTGAATGAAGGCTCCCTTCTGGTACTGGAACCTGTCGGAAAAGATGTACTTCTCTAGTACCATAGGAATACCCTTCTCATCTATTTCCTGGCCAAAGAAGGTGACATAACCCTTATAATAGCTTGCAGAATACAAGGTCAGCGGATGCAAACACCTAAAGGGCGGCGCGACTTACCGTTCGTCCCCCAGATGATCAACGAAATTGGTAAGGGCAATAGCTTGAGGTGACTCAACTGCAGGGAGCTGTCTCTGGCTATCTTGTTTATAATACTCTCGAATTAACGACCCGCTCCCACCCAGAGCATACAAAGCTAGAGCTCTGTGCGTGATGTGACTACCAGAACCATTAGTCACATATACTACGATACATGGCCCGTATAATCCACAAACTTATGAAACTTCAGGTCGTTGAGAAAAATATGCCATTGCTTGTGGTTGTCCTTGAGAACATACTGCAGAGCGGCAAGCGATTCAATGCTGGTCCCCGGAAGCCTACAGGGGGACAAGGTAGAGGGAGGAGCGGAGGGAGGGGGGAAAAGAGTTTCGATTTCAAAGTCGAGTTGGTTGATCAAGGTGGTGGAAGTCATTGCGAGGTTGATAGGCGACTGCTAATGAGAAACCAGACACCATAAAGTTATGGTATTTAAGCTGCGAGGGCACATACTATAAGCACCAACCGGCAACAATGTCCACGAATCATAGGCAAATCCGCATGACGCGAGTCGCTAGATTATTAAGTGGACTGATAAACTACTGACCACATGCGTACTACATAATATCACAGGTCTGCGTCCGTTTCGTTCTGTTTGAGACAGCTTTCATCGCAATCCGGTGACCAACAAGGGGGTAGTGCTGACGGATGAACGCGACTTGCCGGTGGATGAGGTGGACTTGCGGCAAACCACATATTGGCCAGATGACAGTCAGAAGAGTAAGGTAATCACCTTTGAGCGGGTCGCTCCGGAGGCTCTGAGTTTGTTCGTGTGACAGATGTCGGGTGAGTTTCTAATAGAGCAGTGTGTCGAAGGACAGTGTCATGTTGACACCCGCCGTGTACTTAGTTCAAGAATCTCTACAAAACTGACTGTCTATGTCGGCATCACCTCTCCAGCACCCTGTCCGAGATGATATTCCCAAGACCTTAGCAATTATCTCATTAGGACGAAATCGTCAGACGAAGTTATAGTCGGGACCTTGAAGTGGCGAGCGAGAAGAGAGACAAGCCATTGCCAGTGTAGTACCAGAGTACCAAGTGCCTAAGTCGACTTTACCTAGGTATCGAACTTTGGTTTATCGCACGCAAGGTAAACACGACATGAACACTGTTATTTCAAGATGAGATTCACATAAGCGATCGAGAGGGGCTAGAGGAGTAGGCCAGAGGAGTTGGGAGGGTGGTAGTACTAGCTGCGTTGCACATGTCCGAAAAAAAAACTCATGATGCCACCGCGAAGGACCAACTAATCGAATCACGTCGTCAAAGACCTAAATGTCATAGTCGTCAGTTAAGCAAGGGAAGAGAAAAGAAGAAAACGAGGCGAACGCAGACGACATGTCGACGAGTCTCATGCCTATACCGTTAATAAAGGCTATCAGTTGTATGCGAAAAGGAAAGTATTGAAAAAAACGGGACGAACCTAAACAGCAATCTACCACGTCGGTACCGACAACGAACTGATAGATAAACGAGCGTGACGGAAGGAAAAGAGCGTGATGGAAAGAGACGAAGTCGCACAATCGCATACGAAGAGGCAAGACAAGGATCGAGACGCCTCGCCAGCGTCCCCGATATCGTTGTGCATTGATGCCGCGACCTAGAAGTCCAAAGACCTTCTTAACGTGCTCCCCGAGCCAGAAATACGGCGTGATGTAGGTCAGATCAGTAGACTCCGTCGTGCCGGAATCGCCTGTGACCAGTCCGACGATGGAACCAGAGTCACCAGAGGCAGAGAACGCGCCATCTTTATGGTTGTAGGGGTATACAGCAACTTCCAGAGACGTCTTCTTGAGGCCATACTGGTCGTACTCGCGGATGACCGACTCGATACCTGTCATGCGACCAATAGTGGCTCCCATGGTCTTGACTACGAGAAGGCGCTCCTCGCTGTAGGCCTCGGGCTGCTTCGGGCTGCGTAGTTCGGCCTCCTTGACGACGCCTTTAACTTGGAGGAGGCCACCAAGCGGGTATTTGAGGTCCGATTGGCCTTCGGGATGAGGGTGCATCCTGAGGACAAAGGCAGCTGACGAGATCTTGCTGCCTGGATACAATAGTCAGACCAAATGACCTTGGTAAGACACAACGAAACGCACAGAGATAGAGAACATTGCCCTTGAACGTGTCCCAATCAATCTTGTCAAGGTTGAGATCGACCAAGGCCCAGTCCTCTGTGAGCTGCTTGGGGTCGGTAGCGCAGGAAATGGGAGGGGCGTGGAGGACGTAACCGAGCACGCGCTGGCTCAGCATGCTCTAGTGCTTGGTGATGTCACCACGGAAGTCGTTCACGCCAGAGACTGTATGCATCGCCTTCGCCAACGCTGCCTGGTAGTCCTCTCGCGCTCTAGTTCTCCTGGCCTTCTCCCCCTCAACGTCCTCCCCCCAAATTATCAAGCTCCCTCTGGTCCGTCCTGATGAGGATGAGCTCGCGCCCGATTTTGCCCATCATGCCCTCAAGGTCGCCGGTGTAGGTTTTGCTGCCGAGAACGACAGTGTTGACACGACGCTGGTTGGACGTTTTGCGAGAATAGAGCTGGTTAGAGTGTGCAGGCGGCAGGAGAGGGACATGGCGGGCGGTCAGAAGGAAGACCCTCTCGCTCTGGCTGTCTTTGGGAGTGATCTGATGCCGAGAGAGGGAGTGAAGGGGTACCGAGTGTATGCGATGGGGTCTTCAGAGGGAACGTGTTCAAGAATCCGTGGACTAGGCGATGTCGGGGAAGTCGGCCTTGACTAGGATTTGCTTGCAGCAGACGGCCGCGGCCTGGGCATCTTCAAAGGACGGAGACTTAGGTGTGACGCCAATCCAAAGGTAGACTGGACTGGCTTCCTTCTTTCCCTTCCTCGGAAAAGCGGACAGGTCGATGGTCGACCAGACGACTCCAACAGAATCGAGGAATTCACGAACTTCTATGTGCAGCTTGGGCTCCACGTCTGGGAGAGAGTGGTTCAAAACCGACCATGCCTCCCTTGGCACGCGCTGCGCCTCGGGGCCCTGGGGCACAGGCCACTCGTGGCCGGTTCGGTAGATGCAGATGGGATTAGTAGGACAGCCCTGGGGTAGGACTGAGAAAGGATGTCTTTTGGAGGCGGGTTGTAATCAGAGAGCAAAAAGTTTGGAAAACCGGACAATGAAAGGGAAAAGTGTGCTCTGGGCGGAACGCCAGAGTGCATCAAGAATTCCGGACAGGTCCTCGCTCGGTTTCGGCGTGTCGCACCTGTGGTTTTCTTTTTTCCCCTTCCCAGATTACTCCCAGATGGCTGTTCCTCTGCACGATCATTGGGCCTGCTTTTCTTCCAGTGGTCGCGGCGACGCCCCTGCCTGGAATTTTTCGCTTCTTCGGGAGAGGCAGCAGCGCTTCCAACTGCATGTTTCTGGCTTTGCCATCTCTAGGATTTCTCGCCGGCGATTGACTGCGCAATCTCGAGGACTTCAACTGATGCCACAAATTCCTTTAGTGACAACACCTGTGGATTCCGTTTGTCTCTCGACAAGTCTCGCTGTAACTCTTTGCGGAGCCCAGACCAAAGCTTATGAACTTCAGCGCGTTCGTCTGTTTCCCCAATCACGGTCCAGTCCATTCAGTTCGTATAGGTAGTCTTTGACCGTCCTAGAATTCTGGTAGCAACACTGCAGCTTGGCACACAGTCGCCGATGAAAGTCAATCGGGAAACAGTAATTGAACAGTTCCGCGAAGAAATCAGAAAGTCTCCACCTGTAAGGGTTTCCTGACACCTCTCGTGTATAGAACTCATACGCCTTCCGCGTAAGGTAGTGCGAAAGTATGAACGCACATTTCTTAGGTTCGACGCAGCCATCCTGGACATAGGCTGTTCCTTCTGTCATGAAGCGGTGGAAGGCCTGCATGTCATCTGACCCATCGTACTTGGTGGGTAGGATCGGTTCAAGAATAGTTCTGCGTCGCGACGTTGAACGTTTCTTAGCTCTGCGAGAGCCTCTGCTTCGACCCTTACTATGGTTCTTATGGGAATCAGTCCTTCCCCCACGATGGTGTCTTCCTCGTTTTCTCGGTGAGCTGGTGGAGCTCGATAAAGATCCGCTGGAAGTTGTGGAGCATCCACCAGAAGACCCGCCGGAACTAGCAGACGAGTCGCTAGTGTCCGAATACGAATCATCTTCGCTCGAGGAGCTCGAATCGGTGCTGTCGCTTGTCGACGAACTGCTGCAGTCGTGACCAGAGCCAGGCTCGGTCTCCGTCGCGTCGGAACTTTTGTCGCTCGAGGAGTTTGCTCGAGCTCGAGTTCTTTTCTTTTCGGCCTTGGATTTCTTTGAGCGCTTCTCATGCTTTTCAAGGCGCTGGAAGGCTAGTCCAATGCGGCTTTCTGGATTGATCAGCCCAACTGGCTCCATCGCGCTTAGGGTCTTTTGTCGCCCTCGACGCTTGACGTCGCGATGAATGACCTCCTCGACCATCGTCCTGACAGGATCCCCAGGCATTTTAGAAGACCTCAGTTCGTCTCGACGCAAGTTTTCTCTTGTCTTCGACTTAGTTCTCTTTCGTCGTTTCTTAGTACGTTTGTCCGGGCGATAACTTTTGCCGCCCGTTTTTTGGCCCGTCTGGTTATTATCCGAGATAGCTTTCTTGCAGGGACCAGGTTGTTCATCACCGTCCCTGGACAAGTCCTGTGCCAACCTCCAAGATGCGAGGGCCGCACGTTGTGCGTCAGAATCTAGTTTGTCGCCACTGACGTTTAAAGCCCCCCAGTTCCTAGGGTAAAGACCTTTTCCTTTTGAGGCCACCGGGTGCCTTCCGCGATCAGACACGGCGCTCTCATGGTCGTAGACATTCTTGAACAATGTCCGTCTCCAGATCTTTTCTCTTTCGTCTGGGGTCAATCGCCTTTCAGCTTCACGCACTATGCGTTCTCGGTCTGGCCGTAGTTGCCCACCAGTTGTGCGCCGTTCGTGCGGCTTTTCATGCTCTACAGTCCACAGCTGTGGATCGTATGAGTCGTTTTCGTTCCCACTCGCGGATAGAGGTGACGACGAGTCATTTTGGACTTTATTCAGCAAGTCAACATTGGCACTGTGAGTGAGCATCTCAACTCTAACAGTAGGAACTGCTATAGTAGCCTCCGGAGCATCAAAGGCTCCGGGATACACCGGTGAGCTGGTTCTCAAACCGGGAAGTTCGTCAACGGCAGGTTTTTCGATGGGGGTAGCATAATGGCCCCCAACGGGAGTCAATTTTGGTAGTGGAGTATTATCGAGAGCCTCAGCACTAGGCTGGGATCTCGGGCTGTGGGGTAACGAGAGTGCTCGAGCACGGGTCGCTCGGCATAAATTGTAACGTGTGTTAAATGTCTCGGTGATTTTAGTCATGATACACACTTTTCTCTTTACGAGGGATCACGAGGGATTGGTGTTTGGAGTTTTCGACCAGTGAGGGCAGGGGGAAAAAAGCGGCGTCTAGGAGAAGTCACTTTTGAAGGTGATCGAGGTAGGAAAAAGAGTCCCCATACTTATGGCACTTTGGTCCTTTTATATGGTAGGAGATAGGCACCGAAATGTCACCGCATATATACGGGCTAAATGGGATCAAAACCAATATAGGGAAGTAGACATATCTGTCACTGATTTTTCACCATCAGAGCATTCGTCCTTCCACGCCGGGTCGGAGCGTCACACTCCATCTCTCTGCTACTTGCTTTCTTGTGTGCATAGCTTATACATAGTGTTTATCCGCACGTTGGAATAGTGAGAGAGAGCCTCGTAGGCGAGGAGCTGAACTCGAGGTAAGCAATGGGGTAATCTATCTCGTTGTAGCCAGTGCATGATGTCTGTCGGACTAAGCATTCTGTGGCTGTATCCGGTCTCTATCAAAAAATTCTACCCAAATTGTCATTGCAACGTTGCTCACTGTTACTCAGGGACAGACCAAGGCCTAAAACTGTCATCGAGGTAAGCCGCCCATCCTCGCCAAACAATCCAGAACAAGCCCGAGCACTATAAAACCGAAGCTGTGCGATCCAAATTGCTCGGAGCCAGACTCGCTGGAAGCCCTCTGGAAGTCCGGAGCATAGGTCCACGCATCCCAAGACTTCCACGGGCGTACCAGTTGCCCACATAGTTCTTCCGCCGGGCCTTTGTGTAACTCCCCAACATGGCTTTCCCTCGTAACACGAAGGAGGGACGACAAACTGTCATTCATCGCATGTACTCGTTCTTTCTTGTATCCTTCGCTAGAGCCTGAGCAGGCCATAATTGTTCCAAGTACCAGCTCTTCTTCAGTCAGCGCGGTCCTGGAAAGGGAGTGTGGTGGATATGTATATGGGCTCTTCCCGATACATGGCGTACACCGAGTCTACTATCTTTACCCAGGATTGGTCTGTAGAAGCCCTATAGCCTGACAGTTTACGTTGCACGAGTGGTTGGAGCGCATTTGATATAGCATCGTTCCAACAGGACTGCATGTGGCGGCATCTGTCATCGGGTAGTTTTTCGAGCTTGATGTTGCGGTACATGTACCCCAAAGCCCTAGAAGATTCGTAATAACTTGCTTTGAGATTCTTAGATTGGTCGGGCTGTTCCGATTCATGCCAGTCCGGCAAGGGATATGGCGTCCTTGGCAAGTCATCAAAACTGACTTTGCGACCGTTCTTGGCATAGTCGACAGCCTGACCGCGTAGCTCCGCAAGTTTGATGCAGGTAAGATCCAAAGTTCCATCCTTGACGGCTCTTAAACACCACTTCAAGACAAGATTACGTGGGCTTACTTTCGACTCATCTAATAGTCACGTTGACGAAGTGAGGCTTAGCAAGATGGTTGAAATATTATTTGCCTGCTATGGTTACATGTTTGTCGGAGACTAGGCCCCGAGGGTTCGGATAAGCAAAGCGACAGACAGACAGCTTGGTGGAAATCCATACCACGACATCAGAGTTAATATACTCGACAATGAAATCGCAGACAGTCATCTACGGTGCTTGGGCTGTCGAGCGTACGTGGTTTGGCAGGAGGGTATATAGCCGGTTCACGAGGTTTTAGATCCAGAAATGGCTCGTGCTGTACCACTTCATACATATCACTGCAAAAAAATCGGTTGGTCTCTGCATAACGGTTCCCTAATGAGCTTACCCGTCCAGATTGCTGCCTGCCGGTGAGTTCGGTAACGACCGAGTCCCTGCAAGGTAATTAATGTGGCAAAAAGAAAGTATGTCCCGCTCAGCACCTTGTGCAGGGAAGACCACGACATTTTTAAGCTTGGCAAATAGGCAGTTCTTGGGAGGTTTTCCGACGGCTTCCACACGCTGCACTGTGGAACAGCTTAAATGTACATGTCATAGATTTAGCAGAAGTGCTTACCGTCGCCTGGGTGTACGACCGGGCTCCTACTCCTATAGACGAGGCACGCGCCGCTGATCCACGTATGGACTACCCCTGTGACTAAACGCACTTGCTTTCGTCACAGTACAGTGGTTCTCCTTTCTTTGGCACGTGACTCGTGCCAGCCACCCCTGTTTGGTACGACCATGCCTTCCTTACCCTACTTCCCACCGCCTATACCTTGTCCCCCATCTCCTACATTTTCATTTTTCCCGAGAAATTCCACCAATACGACGACATATCCATATTCCACAACTCCGACTAGGCGAAATGCTAGAACCGGCCGCACCCTTGCAGGATCTTACCGTGCTCGCTGACGGTGCCGTCAACACAGCTGCTTCTGCGCTTAACGAGACATATCAACCAGATGTGCATTAGACTGTGGATATGATGCATGTGTCAGGATCATTCGTCGTTACAGAACCACGTAATGAAAACATGTAGAAACTTCAGGACGATTCCAATGTGCGTGAGTTGTTACTTATTGTCCTCACCTGGCTTGAATTGACGGGGGAATTCCAGGAGCACTTCGGTCATTACAGAGGCAATTCAACGAGTTCAGAACACAGAATTTCTCTCGAAAGATCAGTGACCCTCAAGCGCAAGTTTGCTCGTTCAGATCGAAAGATCAGTAGCCTCAAGCGCAAGGTTGCTCGTTCAGATCGAATGATCAGTAGCCTCAAGGAAGAAGTCAAGAGCCTCAGGGGCAAGACCATTTGTTCAGATCGAGAGATCAGTAGCCTCAAGGACGAGGTTGCTCGTTCAGATTGCGAAAACATCAGGTTCCGGGCGGAGCATCCTGCTTCTGATCGCGAAATGTCAAGCCTGTGGGGCAAGGTTCAAGACCTCAAACAAGAAGTGTGCAACGTTACCAATGCACTCGGACAACTCCAACTGGTAATTCTTCCCTTGCATGTGTCATGTTTGGTGGTTGACGTCTCTCAGGTTATGTCGTCTCTAATGCCGGTACAGCGGCACAAGCTGCTAGAGTCTGCAACAAAAAAAACATCACTAATCTCACCGGCAAGGATTGGGATCCACAGATGCCACGGAAAACCATACGACATATTTACCGGGATCTGCAAAGCAAATTCATGTGCCACTATTTGTCACAGGACGCGCTCAATTTCCTTGCTGACCACAGTACCATTCAAAATGAAGGTAACATGGCAGCTCACAATGCCACAGCGGGCGACATTTGGATGGCCTTCACGATGGACCCATACTTCTCCGTTGATGACCACACGAGAGCCATACATGAGAATTTATTCGCATTTGTCTACCAGCAACCACTTCATCAGCACGTTGCGAATTGATCCAATATTTTCCCATTGTGTAATTAAACTATTCCATTTGTTTGAGAAACGATGCCATTGGTAGGCTAGTAAATCCGCACCGCTCAGATCGCTCTGTGTTTTCATCGACCGTGGGGTCCTCTACTTGTGAACAGCGTGACCAGAGGTGATACCGTGGTGAGGCCTTGGACATCGTTTTCGCGCTCGTCGACTAAACTCTGGAGGTTGCTTTTGAGGTCCCTCTTTGAATTTCCGCTGAGAGTGCCCTCTGCGCCGGCTGCCAACCCCTCCAAAATGCTCACTATGGTCCCCACGCCGAGCGGAGCACGTTTTGCGACAAGACGCTCGGCGCCATTTCTCAGCTTTCCCTTGAGATCCCTCTTCGGGTTGCCGTCGATAGCGCCCTCTACTTCGCTCGTCAATCCCGTAAGGAGATGATCTTTCCCGATGTTACAGATACAACAGTCTGTTGATTCAAGGCAGGAAAAAGAGTCCCCATACTCAATGATACATTGGTCCTTTTATATGGTAGGAGGTATCTGTCACTGATTTCACCATCGGAGCATTCTTGCTTCCACACTGGACCGAAACTGTAAACATCACGCTCTGTCTCTCTGCTACTGTCTTTCTTGTGTGCATAGCTTATACATAGTATTCATCCGCACGTTGGAATAGTAGGAGAGAGCCTCGCAAGCAAGGAGCTAAGCTCGAGGCGAGCAATTGGATAACAAATGGTCTTGTCACCAGCTCGTTTGCCTGGTCAGTCGGTCCAGCGTCCGCGTTCGCCCCCGCTCCCGTCTCCTTGTGACTTAGTTGATGCACCGTCGTACGCACCAGCCAAGGCCGTTGTGCTGTCAAAAGAGGAGCCTGCCCTTGTAGTACCGGATGAGCCACCTAGCAACCCATCGCCGTCCCGCCCTCGCTTCAAGCCGTCGAATGCACAGATTCGGGAGGTCACACCACTGGCTATGCGCACTCGCAGTCCGTCGCCCATACGCCGTCCAGTTGGGTCTGTCAGCACACTCCCTCGCAGTACCAATGACATGCTCTCGCGCTCCGTCGCACTCGTGTCCTCGTAGCAGTTCGCCACCACTATCGCATGCACTCACACAGCTAGTTGTGGGTCAGGATAGCTCGCCTATCGTATGGCTTCGTCCACCACCGGTTCCGCCCAGGCCACTGACCATGGCCGATTCAGTTCGGTCATCGCATTCCCTCATTCACTTGCCTTTGCGGCTGGAAACAGTGGACCTCATAGAGTTGTGATCTCACTTTGGCATGGTCTCTTTCATACACTATGTAGATTTGTCTTTTCATCGTTTTCCTTTGGTCGTTTTTGTGTTACTTAGTTTTTCTGTTTGTATGTACACTCATCCCCGTTCCAAGCCGAGCAACACCCGTCGTGTCAAGGCCATATCTTGCTCGTTTCTCCGCCGCGCCTCTCGCTTTCCCGCAGCCTTGTACTACTTGACGAGCGCTTTCTAGGGATCCCAGGAACGTTCCGGTGCGCTCAGCGGTTCTGGAGTTATGCCACATTTTGTGCATGTGAGGTCTTTTGGTTGTATCTCGCTCGTTCCTCCGCCGCCCCTCTCGCTTTTCCGCAGGCTGATACTACTCGGACGAGAGCTTTCTAAAGATCACAAGAACGTCTTGGCAGCGCTCAGCGGTTCCGGAGTTATTCCACATTTTGTGCGCACGAAGTCTTCTGGTGTATCTCGCGCGATTCTGCGCCGTTTCTCTCGCTTTTTCCGGTCACAGGTCCCCCTTGCTGAATCCCTTTCCAGGGATGCTTCGTTTGTCCAGTTCCCCCTAGCCGTTGTGAAGATATGACCGTTCTCTTGCTTGGAGGGCAGGGTTGCAATTTCACGCATAAGTCGGGATCGGGTGTCCCGATCGTAGCGGTTCCTCTTTCAACGTAATCGCCTAGGAGCCCCCTGCCTGTGTTCTAGAGGTCTGCGTCGATCGCCTCGGTCCTCGTCGATCGAGGGCATCTTCTCTCCCCCCCCTAGGGTACCGTTTCGCGTGTTTCGCTCGTTTTCGCGCTGTGCCTCTCACTTTTGGCAGGCTCACACTAGTCGACAACAGCTCTCTTTCGGTACCAAGCCCGTTTGCATGCACCCAGCCGTTCAGGAGATATTCCCGTTTTCATGTTTGGAGGGCTTCAAGACAGTTCTGCGAATAACCCAAGATCGGGTAGCCCAGTTGGCGTAGTTCCTTCTTCTCCATGTTCGTCTAGGAGTTCTCTATCACCTCCCGGAGTTTTGTGTTGATCGTCCCTGCCATCGCCGTGCGAACCGCTCTCCTCCCCGCTCTTGAGGTTCTCTCGTCATATCTTGCGCATCCGAGCGCCGTTCCTCTCGCGTTTCCGGCAGTCCATCCCCCTTGCATAGCCCTTTCTGGGGATGCCTCTTTTGTCAAGTTCCGTGCGGCCGTTGTCGAGATACGCCTGTTTTCGTGGTTAGAGGCACTTTCTGACAACCTTGTGAATATCTCGGGCCCGCATGCACAGATTCCCTCTGTTTCTTTTTCGGCGTATTCGTTACGTTCCCCTCCATCGTCACTAGCAGTTTTGCCGCGTTCTGAGCATCCGTCATTAGTCTGCAGTTTTCCCTTTTCAGTCAACAATGTTGTATGCGCGATAACTTGCCCCTTTCACCGCCGGACCTTTCGCTTTTCAGGGACTTTGTACTACTCATCGATGGCTTTCTGATGGTGTATCATACATTGCGCTCGCTGCTGCCGTTGCGGAGATGCTCTCCGTTTTATCGTTAGAGACACTTTAGGACGACTCTTCGAGTGTCTCGCCCATTTCTTGACTGGATCTCTCGCTTTTCTGGAGCCTGATGCTACTATTCGAGAGCTTCCAAATGGTACCCTTTCTGTCGTCGTCGCTGCAGAACTCACGGTACTGTTCGGTTTTTGGTGGATGAGGGTACCTTTGGATGGATTTGCGGATATCTCAGGGTCGGAAGCGCGGATTCCCTAATGTCGATGGTGAATGCTGGGCCTTGATACTTCAAGTTGTTCGGCTTCGACACAATGTGCGCCCTCGAAAAGTATGCGGCGCGTGAATTTCTTTTGGTAGCTTGCCGCAATATCCATGGGGAGTCTGGACTTTGTAGATCGATGCCTCGCTCGATTACTGACCGCCATGGGCTGTGGGTTAATATCAGCAAAATGCGTGGCATGTCACTTTCGGCTGCAGAGGTTTTCGAGAGCTTGGGTTTCATTGACATGATCTGACTTTTGGGGGGTTGTATGCAGAAGCATGTATCCCTTTGTCCGTGGTCAGTGTTTTCTGATCGAGGGCGATTCGTGAGTCTCTGCTACTTGTCCGCTGTGGGCTGGTTGCTGATCCAGCATAGACGTGAGCTGCTCGGACGTCAATTCCTCGGAAGTGAAGGGACTGCATAGGCGTGAGGTTGACAGCTGTCGTGAGCGTGTAAAGTATGTGTACTATGTCATCATGCGTGTGGGCCGTGCTATGGGTACATGAATCAATTGGTTGTACATCTCTTTCGACGGTGGTGCGTGCTGCGAGGGCAGCGCTCCGGCGTGGTAAACAAGGTGCCTGCCGGCGGCGCCGGCCATGTTCTAGTGCAACGCTGCTCACCGTTATTCAGGGACAGTTTACTATTGCTTTTTCACGTCGCACCTGGTTGCCTGGGTCTGCCGTACCATCAAGTCGAAGATGAGATTAGTAACAGCAGAAAATGGGATATAATCCGATGGCGGGATTTTCGTACAATGATTCAGTAACAAGCTGTGAGTGGTACTACAACAGCAAGATGAGGGAATACAGTACAAAGCTCGATCGTCGTCGTTCATACACTGAGTGTTCAATGTAAATCTGTCATAGAGGTAAGCCGCCCATCCTCGCCAAACAATCCAGAACAAGCCCGAGCACTATCAAACCGAAGCTGTGCGATCCGAATTGCTCGGAGCCAGACTCGCTGGAAACCCTCTGGAAGTGCGGGGTATAGATCCACGCATTCCAAGACTCCCATGCGCGTGCCAGTTGCCCACGTAGTTTTTCCACCGGGCCTTTGTGTAACTCCCCAACAAGGCCTTCCCTCGTAACACGAAGGAGGAACGACAAACTCTCATTCATCGCATGTAGTGGTTCTTTCTTGTATCCTTCGCTAGAGCCTGAGCAGGCCATAATTGTTCCAAGTACCAGCTCTTCTTCAGTCAGCGCGGTCTTGGAAAGCGAGTGTGTGGTGGATATGTATATGAGCTCTTCCCGATATATGGCGTACACCGAGTCTACTATCTTTACCCAGGATTGGTCTGTAGAAGCCCTATGGTCCGACAGTTTACGTTGCACGAGTGGTTGGAGCACATTTGATATAGCATCGTTCCAACAGGACTGCATGTGGCGGCATCTGTCATCGGGTAGTTTTTCGAGCTTGATGTTGCGGTACATGTACCCCAAAGCCCTAGAAGATTCGTAATAACTTGCTTTGAGATTCTTAGATTGGTCGGGCTGTTCCGATTCATGCCAGTCCGGCAAGGGATATGGCGTCCTTGGCAAGTCATCAACGCTGACTTTGCGACCGTTCTTGGCATAGTCAACAGCCTGACTGTGTAGCTCCGCAAGTTTGAGGCAGGTGGGATCCAAAGTTCCATCCTTGACAGCTCTTAAACACTACTTCAAGGCAAGATTGTGTAGGCTTACTTTCGACTCATCTAATAGTCACGTTAACGAAGTGAGGCTTAGCAAGATGGCTGAAATATTACTTGCCTGCTATTGTTATATGTTTGTCGGAGACTAGGCCCTGAGGATTAGGATCAGCAAAGCGACAGACAGACAGCTTGGTAGAAATCCATACCACGGCATCAGAGTTAATATACTCGACAATGAAATCGCAGACGTCATCTACGGTGCTTGGCCTGTCGAGTGTACGTGGTTTCGCAGGAGGGTATGTAGCCGGTTCATGAGGTTTTAGATCCAGAAATGGCTCGTACTGTACCACTTCATACATATCACTGCGAAAAAAATCGGTGGGTCTCTGCATAACGGCTCCCTAATGAGCTTACCCGTCCAGATCGCCGCCTGCCAGCGAGTTCGGTAATGACCGAGTCCCTGCAAGGTAATTAGTATGGCAAAAGAAGGTATGTCCCGCTCAGCACCTTGTGCAGGGAAGACCACGACATTTTTAAGCTTGGCAAATAGGCAGTTTTTGGGAGGTTTTCCGATGGCTTCCACACGCTGCACTGTGGAACAGCTTAAATGTACATGTCATAGATTTGGCAGAAGTGCTTACCGTCGCCCGGGTGTACGACCGGGCTCCTATAGACGAGGCACGCGCCGCTGATCCACGTAGGTTCCTTGTCGCCGGGATTTTGTATACACGCTGGTGACGACATTCTATCGGTGGTGGTGTTGGAAGTGCACTCGTTAGCTTACCAAAAATCTTTCCCTCTGGAAGGCAGTATATGTTATTGTATCCCACAGCGACAAACGCTGGTCCTTCATCTGCAACGCCAGGAAGCATGTAGCTTTCCGGAATAGGAATGCGGGCGCGATACTTGATGCCACGCACAACATGGTTGATTGCGGCAGAACGAAGACGAACAAGAAAGGGGCCATCCAGCTGCTTTTGCGCATGATCTGGATTCAGTTCGAACCCTAAAGTCTTCAGCCTTCTGAGAATATCTGGAACCCAGAAATCCTCGCCAAGGTTATACCTCTTCAGCAAGTTGGTAAACATTAGCATCGATCCATCAGCTCCATGTGTGTTCGACACTACTTTCTCTTGAAGTTCCAGGAAAGCTTGTATGGGGACACCGCGATCCTCAAGTACCATGACAAGTGGCCTATCCATTGGTGAGTGTTAAAACGTACCAAAAATATTTGGTTTACCTATTCAAGTGGACCGGCTTTGGTTCCGTGAATGCAGAGGCAATCTCTATTTCTGCCCAGTCTTTTCCCTGGACATCGAATTTTCTCATTGATGTCCGCAGACGCATATGTATCCCTTCTAGGAAGGGATCCACAACCACCATTCCTTTATAGCCAAGAAAACGAATCTGGTACTATAAATTGGTGTTCCGGTCAAGGGAATACAGTGAGCCTCTGAACAACGAATAGACTCTTTTTTGTGACATACCGCAGTAGGCTGGACAGCATTTGCCCCACCATCCGAATAATTTTCGCACAAAGCTTGCCATATCAAAGCGGCCAATTCTTGAGATATTGTTCCAATCCCATCTGTGAACACGATGCCGTTCTGTTGAATGTCGGACATTTCGCTCCACTGGGACTTGTGAAGTTCGACAGAAGGGTCAGTTGCAGTGAAGGCTTGCTGGATAGTTGTCAGCAGCAGCATCAAGTTCTGCGTCCCTAACTCACCCCGATACGTGCACCATACTTCGACGGAGAATAAATGACTGCTTCAAAGTTTCCAAGACCACCGCGTATGCGCTCTGCTGTCACCCATCCTTTGTCGGGGTGCCAAAAGCGGCTCATGAACCAAAACGCGTGAGTCCTGAGAGCAGAGGAGGAATATGCCAAAAATTTGAAATGTCTTCCCGCAAGCTCAAATCCCTCCTTCAATAATTTTCCTATCCGCTCCCGCACAAAATTTTCACTGTTGGCGTCTCGAGCACACTTGAATTGTTGACGGTCTTCGTCACGGAAAGAGACTCGAAGGAAGTAGTCTTCGTAACCTTTAAATTCCCGTGTGACCCTGTTGGTCTGAGTGACATTCGGTCCTTCTAATAGAAGTCGAGTTGGTGTGAATGTCACACGATGACAGAAAAAACGTCCGACTGGAGCAGTTAATCGTCGGTGACGGAGCTGCCTCTGCAGAATTGCTTCGAAACACTTCTGCAGGGGTTGCACCGCAGATCGACGAGCTGCAGCCTCTGTGAAGTAACGCATCAGTTCACCTGCAACACTTTCGTGGTGGCTGACGAGCCAGTCGATGCGGGGCATAAGTTTTAGCACGTCACGTGTATGGGCGATACCATTGCGCAAAAGCGCCTCAATCTGGAAAGCAACTCGCCAGTTGTCGTGAAACACTTCGAACCACCCGTCTACGCAGTTGAGATTGGCACCGTTGAAGAACTCTTCGTTCCTTGCATTTATCGAAACACGTCGGATTAGAGGATCGATGCCGGCCACAACACATGAGTCGTAAAACCTGTCGAGGACGTCACGCTCGCAATGGTCGTCAGGTAGAACGATGCGAATATGATGGGCATAAGGAGCAATGGCGCCGTGGCTAGCGCACAATTCGCCTACACGCCGGAGATAGTTCTTGTTATAATTTCCAGTCTGGGGGTGATGCATTTCCTCCTTCTGAAACACGGGAGGTGTCAACAAATGAAAGCAAATATCTATTATAGTCGATAGTCAGTTACCAATCCAGTGTAGGGGAAATAACTGACAGGGTTCACGGGTGTCGCAAGGCATTGATATTTCGGCTATATTGTGGTATTTCATCACGATACTGTAGCGCGTCAAGGGGTCCTCTATCTGCAATGATGTAAGAACAATAGCAAGGATAGGTCGCATTATTAATCCAATACCTCGATTCGCATCAGCTTGTAATAGCTCTCAAATTTGATCCGCGGCATGCTTTGCTGCACAACGTCCATCTCCCATTCTATAGAAAAGTCCGGAGGACGATCCCAGGGTCCTGTATTATCTGGGCGGTAGAAAGTACCTAGATCGTGTGCGATTAAACCCTACTTCAAAACCTTAAGAAAGAACGGGCCGCTAACCAATTTGGAACTTGCGAAGGACGAAACCATCCAGAGACGCATTGATCTTCCTCTGGATTTCCGGGTCGACGAAAGGGATCTCTTCTAGTCTCATTTCTAAGCCTACATCCACAGGTATCCCACTTGAATGAAACTCACCGACGGGATTAGTGATATCGTCTTGGTTGTACCATTCGAGGGGTTTACCATCGATCGCGGTCGGAAGGACGGATGCACCAGCACCATCGTTCGTCACATTGCCGTGATCGTCTGGATTGGGGGTCATCTCAAAGTTAGGTAGGAATTGTTTTCCGCCGAGCAGGAACAGACCAGGACATCTAGGTAGCACTTGATATTCTATTGCATTCATCACAGTGTACTTTGTAGTGGGGGCATGCACATTCGAGATGTGAAACTTCATGGTATCGAGTCGAAGATGAGAGCGATAACAGCGAAGGAGGAGAGCGCATGTTCTTTAAGAACCATTCTATTCTTGGTGACTTTAGGGCTTGCGTTACTAATTATTGCCCATTATCTGACTGTACATGGGTTGAGGGTTGCATACAAAGTTAAAAGGCCCGAGAAACGACCTACCAGCGTGGACGGCTCTATGTGTGGCCGCCCTCTCCTTCTACCTCAACGTCGTCAATTGCATCGTCACCATCCCGAGCGAGCATTCCGACTATGTCAGGAGGTGGTTCAGGGAGTTATGTTTGGGAGCCCTCAGATTTCGGAGCCATTGAGCGATTCAAACTAAATTATCTTGACAGTATCGAGCGGAGGAACACGATGCCCGGCCAATTACGAATGGCATCGATTTCGAGTAACATGGGTGGCGGTTCTAGATTTGAGAACTGGCGATCCCCTCTGTAGGTCAAAGATCCAGTCATTTTGACACGCCGCCGTCCTCCGTTCATTCCATTGACTTGTGTAAGTGACCTGGGCCGAGCGATCACGCTGTCACTTGCCTGCTTGCTGAGGACAATTCCCTAGTGGCTGGAGTATATTAATACCAAATGCCCTCCCAGACACTCCTGGACACTACAAGTACAAACACGGTTCATATTAACTTGACTGGCCTAGGCCGCTTCTGGGTCTGGGAGCCTAATATTGTTGTCACGGTGGGTGTTCGTGAACTGGAATTGCTGACCTAACACAGCCTTTGCGGCAGCCGCCGTTGTCCGGAAACGCGAATGGCAGACACCGGCATCCAGCTCATGTGTACGCTATGAACGCAGCCCAGTTGGATTTCCCCCATTCGTGAAATAGTTATTGCGTTCATTATACGTGATAATCCAATATCGACCATTCTCTGGCGTCATCGAACAGGTACATGCCAATGAATCCTGGCAAGTTTGGTGCGAAAGTGGCGCATCCACCTCCCTCAGTTCCCTGCCATTCCTTCCCAGAAGGTGGCATTTCGGTAAAGCATCCGAGACTGCGGTGCGTGCCACCTGGTGAACAATTGACTATCTTGCCATATGATCCTCAACGTGGACAAGGCATTCTAGGGCATTCTCCGCATCTGCGTCCGCCGTCCACCCAGAAGTCATCCTTATCAGGTAGGTTTAATTCGCCGTCCCTGATGTCGCAAAATGCCGCCTGTGACCAGAGCGACGACCACGGTGGACGAGGACAATGCAAGTTCATGGACAACACAGACGACGCTTTGGCTTGTCAAAGCTTCCGCAGGATGATAATAGATAAATACGAAGACATATCTTCCTCCCGGATTGCGAACTCTCCACAGCAGATCTGTGTATCTTCACCGTCGCACTCCTCTGGAAGGAACCTGCTGCATCTTCTTAATATTTGTTGCATCGATCGAGCGGCGCCGACCTTTTGCCCTTTACATTAATTCCTTGAGGTTGGTTATTGACTCGCACATCCCTTGCTCCTGTTGTTGGCGACTCAATCCTCCGACTAGGATTCTTTACCTTATGCTCACCCGAGCTCTACCCGCCGTCGGCCCCCCTTGTCGGCGGATTGTGTCCCGCTTTCAACTTGTACCGCAACTCAAGTGTGCGAAAATAAGCAGAGAGGCCAAGAGATTTCTTGTCTTCCTGCTCCGCCCTGCCTGGAACCGTGATTCGTTCCGTCTTCGACGTAAGAGTTCCGTCACGACACTGACGGAAGCGCTCACCTCAAGTTCGTGCGAGACGGATACTCTTGTCGACGATGGTGGGGAATCATCATCTGATCTAGCCCGCCGTAAGGTGAGACGACTTCGCCTCTATTAGCTATTTTTTAATCGCTCCAAACAGACGGTCCGCTTTGACGACGAACCAGCCATCTTCTTTCGGAAATCACGCATAACGCCGCCCAAAGGGTCGCCAACCAAGTCACCAGAACGACCGTGTCTTGTGCGCGTAAGTGCAAAGTTCTCTATTACTATCACGTCAAGTAACGTTTTATGTGTAGAGGTTCAGCGAACTATCAACTCCCACGTCTGACGACGCAAGTGACGGTGATTCACAGTCAATCTATGAAGACTGCATGTGCGACTTTGACCGTCAGCTTGTCCAACGTCTTCGCCCAAAGGACTCTCGCTCATCCTTTTTCTACGAAACGGAGTCCGGCACCGTCAAGTTTGATGAGCAAGGGTATGGACATTACTGTCTTACCAAGTATCTGGACAAACAAAGAGCAGAGATGATGAGTCCCCAAACGATCACGTTCGAACATCCCGCGTTACTACCATGGCCCAGTCGTAACCTCGCTCCTGAAATGCCCCAACCACTAACATGCGTACCACCATCTTCCCTGCAGCTTGTCATTTCCCCACCCCGATCTCGGTTTCAACGCTTGCAGCAGTGCATCGTGGACGAGATCGAAAACGCCGTTGCCATTTTGTGTATTGGGGTCATCATTTACACGTGTATATTTGTCTTCTTTTTGTATCGTGTCTTCACTGGTGGGCTTCTGCGATCACACTGACGGGACTTTGGAGCGACATCATTGGGTTCACACTATTTCACTCTACTCACTCTTTATTGGGATCTATTTTTGTGGGATTGTAGTAGTAAATGTATCAGTATACCCGAAGTACGCCGGTGTAACCAGATCATCAGATAAGGTCAATAGTAAATCGAATTTGCCAAACCGTTGGCGTCACGTGTTGCCACGGGTCATCTCCTGCTGGGTATGATCTCAGTACCCACACCCAACTCTCGCGATCCATGGTAGACGGACAACCGTCTCCGACCGATGGCCCATCGCGTGGCCGAGGACGTGGAAGGGGTAAGTCTCGTGGTGGGTTGGGCAAATATCTCCGTGCCAGGGGTCGTGGCCGCGGATACGGGCGCCCAGCGGAGTTCTCGAAGCGCCTCGTACTAGAGGGCGAAGAGGAAGTAGAGCTGGACCCTGAAGAAGCGGAGGAACAACGTCGCAGGTATGGGAAGAGGCAGCTTGCATCCAATGCTGATCGGTATGTCGAACCCGAACCGGAACTTGGATCAGACGGTAGGGGTGGACAATCGTGCTTGGAGTCCAGGGTTTAGCTGATGCACATTTTCTTTGGAAGGGGAGGAGATCAGGGAGCCAGAGGTGGATCTGTCTGCTTTTCTGGAGAGGCAAAAAATATCAGAGGATACGGCGACATCCTCTACCACTCTGCCCGATGACGACGACGTTGACCACGATTTTGATCACATAAGATTGGGAACGCAGACACGTACACGGTCCAAGAAGGGAAATGTTCATACAATTGCATGGGATGACCAGTTAGAGAAATTGCAGCGAGAGAAAGATGCTGCAGATGCTGCCAGAGGTCTGGTCTTCACTCGTAGTCTGCGTCTGTTAAATTGACAGGCGATGTCGTTGGCTAGACCTCAAGGAAAGATTCCGGGAAAAGTCTGGTAAGTTGCGAGAAAAGCCCGTGTCCTTTGAGCCACGCAAGCATGGTATGTCTGCTACGACCGACATTCTTTGGAGTTTGAAACAAGTTCGTCCTCTATTCCTTGCACAGACAATACTATTGTTGCCCTACCCCTCCCAACAGAACGAGCACCGAAGACACCGAAAGAGGAAATGCAAGATTTTTTGGATGAACTACTTGGCTAGCATGATACTAATCGTTTTCCCCAAAAATCAACATGACGTTCCCAATATGTATTCCCTTGTCTCTACGTGACACCCTACTTGAAGATAACCGGGATATGAAAATTGTCTGGACGCCCTGGGAGTTCCTTACAATGCCACGAAGTGACCACTACTCGAGGTACATGTGCAACATTCATTGTTCCCCGTACAGCCTGTATATCAAAGTGGGAAATGACTAGTAAGCGACATCGTATCTTCGGAAAGCAAAGGGGTAGACGATTAACTCTCAAGTCATCGAATACTTTGATCAATGACGTCTATCAGGAGAATTGATCTCCAGAACACGCGCAGCTGTTGGTTACGTTGAGTAAGGGTACTTGGCGTTTATCATGATCACTACACTAGCGATACACGGGCATGGAAATCGATGGAGCGTAACTGGTAAGTATGCTTGTACAGCAACAGTAAAGACTGCAACTCTCATTTGCTCTCAAGGCTCAGAAAGACGAAGACAAACAATAAAAATGACAGATATAAAAAATTAATCAATAAATAAACAGCTGAGGAAGACTGTCTCAGTGGGGAGGCTGGTTAGATGGTTGTCAGTATACGGAACATGTATCAGTATATCCAGAAAACTACACACTTCACGTGCACTGTGGCGCAATACGGTCATGCAATGACACAAAAAAAGCCAGTAATTGTGCCGTGATTGTACTCCTGGTCAGTTGGTATGGATGAAGTTTCAGTGGATCGCGGCAGCGGAGGCTCTTCGACGAGTAAAAGTGATTCGACGCTGGTAAACGAGTCCATTGGAGTGTTCGAGCCGGAAGATAGTGAACGCAAGCGTGTGGTTCAGCTAACGCGAAAGCCGGGATGTTATATATATACGCGAAGCCCGCAAGGCCTTACTTTATAAACTGGACGGACTTCGAGGGCCCCATTATTCGCCGGTTTGATGCTCTATTGTCTAGTATAGGAGCTGACCTCGCTAATACAGTCACGTGACCAAATCCGATCCGGCTGGTTGTACTGGACAATGGGGGATACGATGATACTATTGTCCATTTTTTACACGGTACTCGTCGCCATTGTCGAGTTCCGAACAATGGTGGTCAACCCGGTCAACAACGTATAAGAATTTTAAAATATGACTGTGGGCTGCATTTACACCCCCGCACTTATCTTCGAAAATAGCTGAAGCGAGTTTTACCGTCTCAAATGGACACCTTCATCTCCATCCTTGATGTTACTCGCGACGATTTGGACCGAATAGCAGACGACGCACTACCCATTGACGAAGAGCGCCCTGGATGGGGGCAGGGTATCGTTGATGCACCTTTCCCCGTTGATCATGAAATGCATGCCGGACTCACCGGCATCGGCGGCCTATGTACCATTTGCTGAGTATCGTCATTCTCCCACTGGTGAGTGTACCTCTGTTCACCTTCCTTGAATTTACTAGCTAACATATCGAAAATAGTCTCAACCTATTTGTTATAACTATTTATTCGGTCAACTACAACTGTTGTCAGTCTGGACTAGCATTTGTTTATCTTTATGGGCTGTGCTCCCTGTCGAAGTCATGTTAGAGTTTCATAGTTTGTATCACATTACTTCCGTGTGCAGCGGTCACCGGTTGCAACTCAACGATAGCATATTCATCAATATTGTCGCACTGCTCAGCTGGAAGCACATCTCTGCCTCCGCGTCGTGACTGTCGAGACGCACATGTGCATAGGTCGGATGTGCGGGCCTGCACACCCTGGTCTCATCTGGCTGTAACCAGTCGACGGGACCCCAAGTACGTACTAAGTATTTGAGCATGAGGAAGACTGTCATATCTCCCGAGTTTGCTTCCATTTCGCCCAGCTCTTAGGTACTGGTTACCTTGTAAGCCCCCATTTCCTTGGCTCACACCAGTTGGCTAGTTTTCGTGTATATTCTGACAAACTGTTCTGTTCAACTCAACTGTTCCTTGATTCCTTGATCATCCACAAGTCATTCTAGCTTATCTTTGTATTTATGTAAATTCATATCACCATGCATTCCGCTGACTACCATCACTACCACCCTGCAAAATAAGCACAGATCTGCCTGGGATGTAGTGCTGTTGGCAGAAGTTTGCCATTTCACCAGTGGCAATTGCTGGCCATAGTGTTCTGGATCTGGCAGAAGGTGGCAGAATAAACAAGCTGTCAGATTAATGTCCAGTCACATATGCTATGGAAATTTTAAACTGTATGAGCACAAATGGTTGACTCTGATGCTACAATGTCACAGAAAGGCTGCCCACCTTGTAACAGACAATTTCTGGTGGCTTGAGAAAGTCAACAACAAGTCTAATCACTGGTACTATGAATGCATACACTGCACAACATCAGCAGGCTCTTGCAATCTCTGTTGTCCACAATCTCCAAGAGTACTATAAATGCTCTGGTGTCTTTGCTGGTGGAGAAGCAGATGCTCTTGCATGGTGGGAATCACTTCCTATCAGTGCAGAAAAATGTCCATTAAAGCTTATGGCCATCACAATCCATTTGATGGTCCCTCACACAACTGATGTTGAGCATTATTTTTTGGACCTTGGTGGTGTTCAGTCTTGAAAGTGATGCAGCCTTACAGTCAAAACATTTTCAAATGCTTAGCAAAGCATGCATGCACTACTCTTACCATCTTTGGAAAATGGATCACACAGCTGGGAAGTCAACACATGGGAAACATGCCCACATGCATATCCAGCCAACACCTGGAATCAATACAGAACTGGCAGCTGACCTCAAACAGACTTTCTCATGGGTCCCACCACTGGCAGCTAACACTCATGACCCAGATGACTATCTTGCTGGCCCTGAATCCATCACAGACAAAGAACTTGTTGAAGCTTTCAAGGAGCTCAAGCATGAGAAAGCAGAGGCATGCATGAGTGATGCCCATCAGTTGGATGATGGCTCACTATCTAGAGTTCTTGATGGAGGTTTGTATGCATGAGACAAACTTGATCATGTGGATAAGGGGTTGGCTCCAAGAGGATTCAGGGAGGAGGTTACTGCACTTGAGAAAGCATTTGAAGGCAGCACAACTTGGGATATTGGCTCACTGATGTCATCAGAAGGTCTCTAGTTAAGAATTGATATTCATTTACAATAGTTGTATGCATGGTAAGTAGGGGGAAAAAAACTGATTCTGCCACCTTGCACCATTTCACCAACTGCCATTGTGCCATTGTGCTGGCAGATATCAACTGAAAATAATTCTGCCCCCAGCACTACCAGTGGGATGTGATGATTTTCGATGATAATCAATTGCGGAACTTGAAATTTGCTTCATTTTGTTACATTCAAGAGTTTTTATTTTTGGAGCTCCAATTCTCTCACCTTTGTTGCGACTACTCGAGTGTCTCAGGGTGAAGTACGTATGTAGTACACGGCGTGGATGGTGCTGTAAATAAGGTAATTGCCCTTTTCTAAGTTAGCGATAGACGGTGAATTCACACCTACCAGAAGAACAGTATTACAACCCTGCGGGACAAGACAATTGACCGCATCAATGCAAAACGGATACATACGTGACTAGTGACTGCTAGCCAGCAATACATACGATGACAAATACAAAATAACTATACGCTCGTAAGGGCACTTGAATTCTGCACTACACAACGATCGGCGCAAGTGAGATTGGAATAAATAATCAATAATGACAAAAGAAGGTCAAAGTAGGTCGAAGGGTAATAATCCCAGAAGGCGGCTAGAGGGGACGTCGGTAATTCCTCGTCAGGAATCGGAAAAAAATCGTACAGTTGGGGCCGGTACTGCAACAGGGCCAGTTGGCACTAAATACTTTTGACAAGCACGGGTAACCTGCCAGAATAATTCAGGCTGAGGATATTACTGAACGGTGTAGAAAAAAAATTACTCAGGCGATAACGCAAAATCCTCCCTGGCCCCACCCCCCGAAGTATTCTTCGTCAACAGGAATAAGGGCGTCCACTATTTGATGATCAGCATCGCAGGTAAAGTCATCGAGGGCGGTGAAGGTGTCCATGTGAGATTGATAACACTCGCAGCAATGCTTGTAGGGCAGAATAAGCAAGGGGGGTGCAGATGGCAGCCCGCAATTATACTTTGGCGATCTTATACCATTCCACCAGCATTGTTCAAGCTCAAGGACAAATGGGATCGCTTAGCACGCATTTATTCATTGTCTGGCAAAATTGGGTTGACCAGGCCACGTGACAGACGTGCGAGGTTTGAATTGCGAAGTCAGCCTTTGTTCGCCTAGTAGGCTCGCAGAAAGCAAGCGGACGCAACAATGGATTCCTTGCAACTCTATAAACGGTCCCCACTAGGGCCTAATGTCCACCATTTACTCTCTGCATTCTGTCATGCGTGCTGAACTCTCCGTCGGTGCCTTCATTGCTGCTGGCTTAGTTCTGGTTCCTTTGCCTTGGCATTGGCGTGCTCGTAACGTTGCGATGCTTTCCACTATTGTGTGGTTGCTTGTTTCAAATATTATATATGCCGTTGACGCTATAATATGGGCCGGAAATGTTGCAGATTCTGCACCGGTTTGGTGCGACATAAGTAGGTGTAGTCCACTGAAGCTTCACTGTCGCTTCTCACCGTTTCCCAGCAACCAAGCTGCAGGTCGGCACTAACATGGCACTTCCGGCATGCTGCCTATGTATTTGCATCCATTTAGAACGTATTGCGTCAGTCCGTCAAGTTCGCACTTCCCATTCGGACAGGATCCGGCGCAAGATTTTCGATGCTACACTTTGTTGGATGATACCCATCGTCTATATGGCCCTTCGTGAGTAGACCGCTCTTTTTTTCTCTCGTGACGCTAGCAATCAGTACCCATGAACTATACGATAGACTATGTTGTTCAAGGCCACCGGTTTGATATTATCGAGGACTTCGGTTGCCGCCCGACGGTTTACGTGTCCGTTCCTGCTATCTTCTTGATCTGGGTACCACCTATTACGGCCGCTCTTGCAACCTTCGGGTTTTCAGGTACGTCGCACTGTACAAGATCTCTTACAGAGATTGGTACTGACGTTTTCTTATAGCCGTTGCCGTTCGGCACTTCTTTCGTCGACGACTTATGTTTGCGAAGCATTTGCAGAACTCCAATTCTGGGTTGACTACTTCGCGTTACTTTCGGCTTATGAGCATGGCCGTCGTCCAGATGTTTTGGAGTTTACTAATAATGTCCTTTAACGTGTGGTTCTCGTGCCAGAACGGTTTGCGACCATGGATCAGTTGGGATAACGTTCATACGGGATTCTCGCAAATTGCCTATTTTCCCACTGTTCTTATTCCGTCCTCAACGCTAATTTGGACATACATTTTGTGGTGGGCATTGCCGGCGTCTTCTGTAATTTTCTTTGTCTTCTTTTCCTTCGGGCATGACGCCATGAACGAGTATCGAGAGTGTTTCTCCTGGGTTCGTCGTGCCGTATTTTCCCGTATTCCTGAAGAACAGTTGAAGAACTTGTCACTCCCACGGTATGGGGTACCATTCCAGCCCTTACTGTTACTGACATAAACTCAAGAGGAGGACATGGTTGCCAGTCTCTAGCAACTCCGCAGAAGTTACGAATGCAATTCCAGTGCAATCGGCGTACCTTCACGGGTTGTTCTGAGAAAGAGAGCACCGCGTACGACCGGGATTCCGTTGGGAAAGACACCGTGGAATTATCGCCTGACTCCCCCACCGACGGTATTCATTTCTCAACTCCGCCACTGTCCTTTCATTTATCGTCTCCTGGGAAGCATGATCATGATCAACTCGCATTCGCATGAAGTACGTGTAGATGTGTTGCTTGTCAGATTTGTATCCTACCACTGCCGCTCTTTCTTATGTTTTCCGAAATGTTCGCATACCCGCGTTTCGTGCATGGATATCTTGATTTTTGGATTTCGCACCCCCGCGTACCGTGTACCACTATCATGTATCCTCTTACGTCGTAACAGAGCATTGAGACCTCTCCCCAGCCTTGGTCGGGAACTTCTTCACACTCGAGCTCCCAATTCAGTGCCCTCAACCCCCCGCAGTCATCGACATTGCGCGTACTACATATTCCCTCTTGAATACGGGATACCCTGAATTATCAGACGTACACTGGTCGTGCCATGTCATGCTCACTAACAACGACGAAATTGTCTTCTATCGTGCCTCTGATGCCAACTGACTTATTCCTTTATGTGACTACGCTCAACAAGCGAAGAGCCCTCATGAATGCCCACCATGCCAATAGTATGGGCTCAAATAACGGAAACGTACGTCATACATACAAAGGTCCTCCAGGCATTTCTGCACACGTGTTCATCATCCCCATGCCCCTACCCCGTCGGTCAGGTGACTGGCCCAGGAATACTTCATTTACTACATTAACCTAATTGCAAGGGTTCTGTCGCACCTATAATTCACGTGGGAGCTAACTGACGACAGAAATTGTTTCCTTTTTCGCGTGTAGACACGGCTGGAAAGTCTGTCCTTTTTCATGACACGGAGACACTCGCTAGGCAGACATAGGGGTAAGGTAGTGCACGGTATTAAGCAAAGAATGGACCTGTTGTCAATAGCGAAGTCTTGCACCACTTACATGTATGTACTGCTCGACAACTTTCGCAATTTGCACCACGAAATCACGACTACCCACATTGAACATATGATACATCATTCGAAAACCCTCGTCAAGTAGTACCACTCAAATCAGCGAGAGGCGCGGCCGTAATACGGGGTTGCTACAGCCCAGACACCATCTAAGGTAGTACCATGGAAGGGAATGAAAGCTGTCGAGTGAAGACGGGTGCTCAAAACAGCATGAACTTGGAGAGAACGGTAGAGGGGAATACGAAGAATGAGGCGCAAAAGGAATTAAATGAATCTAAGCTTCCGATCCGAGATATTCGCAAAGCTGTCCGAAGTTGCCTCCAACTGGGAAACAGCGAATATCTCCAGACGCGCTGAAGCAAGCATGACCCCCTATACACCATTCGATAACTCTTAGCGAATAGTGACATCCCCCAAAAGCGAGAGGAACGGCGACGAAACGGGGCGAGATATGGCCACACAGCATCATGAGATAACACTTGGGGTTGGGAAGAAGGGGGTCCCTCGAACAACAACGGCTCAGGCAGTCGACAAAAACCTCTGGGAGATGGTGGAGAATACCTAGAGGACACGGAGAAAAAGGAATCACCCCGATTGGAGTTCTTGATGCCGAGTTGCATCGACAACGGCCACACAGAATTTGACAATTGAGGAGTCCACAAGAAGGGTTCAGCAAGGAGGATTAAAGGCCGAAAAAACGAGAGGAACAGCACTGAGATGCGTAGGATACGACATGTCCTCGAGGCACAAAATTCCAGAACTGCTGGACAATATCAAGCTAATTACACGGCAATGCAAGTCGGATGGCCACAGGTTGAACCCACCCCTTTTAACTGTGATTTCAAAGTCAGATAAATGTGAATCAAATGCTCTCGTAGCTACTGGATTGCCATGACTGGCACGAGCATAATACTAGGACTTGTATTTAGCGTGATAGGCATAACTTGATAGCACAAGCTGATAGATGTCCGATGAAGAAAATCAAGTTCACCCTGGGTTTGAATCCTGGACAACCCAGGTACGGCCTCCCAGATGGAGTATCCTAATACTGATAGTGACCTACGTACGTTGCGCCATCTCACACAGATAGTGTGTGCATCCCATCCACTGTTCAACTCGGAGATCAAACCTGCACTGTCTGGATTTCATCCAGCAATCATCTGCACATCACCCAGGCTGCATCCAGCAAGGAGGCCGCCAAACACCCTTGTGTGTATCAGTGGTGCGTATGTACATCTAATCTACTTTTCGACTTGGAGATTGAACCTGCATTATCTGACATTCATCCAGCGGTCATCCAGACATCATCCACAGTATATCCCGCAAGACAGCTGACAAACATCAGTGCGTACACCTGTTGGGCTTTGGCACCAGGATCTGTGTACCGTAGATTGGGTAAGCATCGCTTATCATGATTATTACATCTCTGGGCCCACGACAACTTGACAGGCCCCTCCTGATCACAATATTATTGGCACCTACCTACACTTAAGTGTGTATACAATTACTGCTGATTGTCAATTACTTGTGCCTAATACATTCAGTCACAGCCATACTGCCTACCTCACAGTAACCATTGACATTCATTGTGGGACAGTAAGCAAGCTTATCTACTGTAGATCTGACTCTCAGGTCATCAGCAGTCACTTGATCTTGAGTGTTCCAGGGGAAGTATTATTGATGGTTGAACACTCATTTCCTAGTGCTGAGACAGCAGAATGTAGGTCATCACAGTGTCCCCTGTATTTTTGTGCTGAATTCTTTTCAAAGGGTGGAGGCAAGTTGGAAAAAATGGATGGACATGCTTGGCATGCTGGGACAACAAAGTCCACTCAAGAGACCATGCAAGGAGGCATGAAAAAACAGACACATTTGAGCTCTGTTCAGTATCATTGTTCTAAGCACCAGGGAGCTTTTGATGCAGGGGGCTGTGTACCAGGTGATGGTGAAAAGTTCCCCAGTACCCATGATCAATCCATGCATGGTATTGGCCTTATTCTTGAGGAGATATCTGTCCCTAATGTGGAGGATGGCTTTGGGGAATACATTGGTGCAGACTTTAGTGAGGGGGGGTTCAGTTTCAAGGGTCTCTTCTTGAGAAGAGCCATGCCCAATTTGCAGCAGCTCTTTCTAGCTTACTTGATGAGGATAAATTATCAGATGAAGAGGGACCAGGGGAGCAAGATGGGGAGACACTGGATAGTGAATCAGAGGTGAATATGTTTATGGGGACTGGAAATGGTATGGGTTACTACTGCTAATGTCAAATTTGTGATTTTTGACCTGAATTTTAGAAGGGGATACTGGAATGAAATCTGATGGATGGATGACTACTTCTGAGGGAAATGAGTGGTTTCCATGGCCAAACAAATTGGTATGCAGCTATTAACAGAGAGGACTGACATTCACTAATAATACTCCAGTCTTGTACAATAGATATCTTGATGCACATCCCTCACTCTGTCTTCTCACAGCATCAACTTGATCTCTTGATGTGGCTACTACACATCAATGGCATTCAAGATGTACCATCTGTTAGAACAATGAAGACTCTTGAAGATGGCCTTCAAAAAATCTGTGGTATTGAAACTTTGCCTTTCACTGGTGCTTTTGGGCACCAATATTATATGAATTCATTTTCAGACATTATCAGGCAGGTTGGTGGTTCATTGCCATAACTGACAAATACTGATTATGATAATATAGGAGATGGCTAACCCACATATTCAACCACAACTTCACTTCTACCCAGAAAATTCAGGGGGACAGTTGAATGAGGCATACCAGGCCAGAAGGTGGTTAAAAGAAATGGATCCAACACAGCTGACTCCTATGATTCACCTTCATGGTCAAGATTTTTTCATATTTGAGCCAGCCCTTTTGTCAAATGGGCAGGTTTGCCACATGATTCAGTCACTTGTAGTCCTAAAAGTGGGTCATCCGACATGTACATTTCGTCCTGAAACTGGGACTAACTGACATTGGCCGGTGGTCCCTAGGGTTGGGTAGGCCGGACTGTGAAGGTGGGGTTGGCCTATGTCACAGGATGATGGATCAACTTCCCTGGAAGTGGGGTCGGCTGACATGACTATAGGATGGATTGATGACCTGGAAGTGAGGTTGGCTGATGCAGCTATGGGATGAATTAGTGTCCTGGAAGTGGGGTCAGCCGACACAGCTATGGGATGAATTAGTGTCCTAGAAGTGGGGTCAGCCGACACAGCTATGAGATAGATTAGTGTCCTAGAAGTGGGGTCAGCCAATGCAGCTATGGGATAGGTTAGTGTCCTGGAAGTGGGGTCGGCCGACACAGCTATGGGATGAATTAGTGCCCTAGAAGTGGGGTCAGCTGATGCAGCTATGGGATAGGTTAGTGTCCTGGAAGTGGGGTTGGCTGACACAGCTATGGGATGAATTAGTGCCCTAGAAGTGGGGTTGGCCGACACAGCTATGAGATAGATTAGTGTCCTAGAAGTGGGGTCAGCTGATGCAGCTATGGGATAGGTTAGTGTCCTGGAAGTGGGGTCAGCCAACACAGCTATGGGATGAATTAGTGCCCTAGAAGTGGGGTTGGCTGACACAGCTATGAGATAGATTAGTGTCCTAGAAGTGGGGTTGGCTGATGCAGCTATGGGATAGGTTAGTGTCCTGGAAGTGGGGTCAGCCGACACAGCTATGGGATGAATTAGTGCCCTAAAAGTGGGGTCGGCTGACGCAGCTATGAGATAGATTAGTGTCCTAGAAGTGGGGTTGGCTGATGCAGCTGTGGGATAGGTTAGTGTCCTGGCAGTGGGGTCAGCTGATGTGGCTGGGGGGAATGAACCATGACCTGGAGTTGTGGTTGGGCAGACACTTTGCAAGAAAGACCAATATCTTGCTAGTGGGTTAGTGGGGCTGGCCAATCTTATTACTCAGTACACTACTTCCTTGGTAGTTAGCTGGCTGAACCCACATGGTTGTGGAAAAATCCTATATCCTATCCTTATCCTGTGGTATTGAAGTTAACTCTACCAATCTGGCCATTGTATTGGAATTAACATTGGGCAAATTTACTCAGTTGTGTATCAGTACTTAAGGAGGAATTGTCCTGCAGGAAATTCCTTTTTTTCTGAACATTCAATGTCATATGAAAATTGAAAACACAAAGCAGCTATTTTTGATTGTAGTACATGCATATCATATGTATCAAGGTAGGGTATTTTACAAAGATTCCAACAGCCAGGATGATGTTTGCCCCTTTCCCTGTGTCAGTTTGGTAGCCCCTTTGGACATGCAGATAGTATAGGTTTGGGGAGGCTGAGATGTGCCTTGTGTGTCCTTCCCACAGCCAGGATTCTTGCACTCATAGGAATAAGTCTGCCCTGAACAACCAGCTTCCCACTTCTGAATGCTATAACACTGAGGGCACTGGGCAGGCAATTGTTGTCCCCAAGGCCTGATGAACTTGTCAGTCCAGACAAATTTCTCCACCACTACCTTCTCCTGCCACAACATCAGGATGATGTTGGAGTGCCTACCCAACATACCACAGTCACTCAGGGCATACCTGACTCACTTTGGACATGGAAGCCTTGAACAAGGGTGGAGTCAAGGACACTCATGAGGAAGGGAATGGTGGTGACTAGTTGAAGTCTCTCAGCATCAAAAAGCAACATGGACCTTGGCTTGAAGCTGATATGGTGTCAGTCATAACCACCAACATTGAAAGAAAACCTACTGTTGCACAGCTGCCTTCAGTCCTTGGAAGCTCTGCTCCTTCCTTACAGTAGAACCACATACAAAGAAGATGAGGTCTCCACCCTTGACAATGTTGGAGAGGGGTAACAGAAGGCCTTGCAGAAACTGCAACTGGTCAGATGGGAGTGACAGTCAAACAATGGTGACTTACCTCAAAGACCTCTGTGGCTATTGGAACCTTATTCTCCATTCCAGAGAACAGATCCCCCCTGTCTTCATCAGTATGGGTAGTAAGGAAAATGACTACCTTAGCAAAGGTAGTCAGACTTGAAGCTAGCTTTGATGCTGCAGTGTCATAGGCAGCTCTGGACTCCTCAGTGGCAAAGTTGAAGGGCAGTTGTGAGAAGTGGTAGGTGTCTTGTCTGAAATATCCCTGCAACATGGTGTGAAGGATATGCACAGGGGCATGGCCAAGCTCTAGAGACTCAAGGTGGAGGTGGATAATGGCAGTAGAGTTACCAGCCACTTCAGAGGTGGTGGCATGCTCAAACCCCCCAATGACCACAAGAGGGTGTTTCAGGACTGGCTTGCCTGACAAGTAGAAGCCCTGTACTTGGAGTTAGAAGTGATTGGGGTGGCAATATGCACTTACAAAATAGGGCTGAGGACTTTCAAATCTTGTCACTTTCCAATGACAGGAAACACACCTGAAGTTCATCCAGAGTTTGAGTCAATGGAATTAATTCATAAAAGGGAGGTTAACACACCTGAAGGTCACAGGAAGCTGGGTGACCTCTGCAAGGCAATCCTCAGGTACTACAACACACTTGTTACACACTACCCTTCTGCAACCTGCCTGATCACAAGGCCACAATGTCCCTCCATCCCTGCACATCACACAGAACTGCATAGAATGTTAGAAAGATGGATGGAATATAAAAAGAGACTTGCCAAGTTCCTCATCCTTCTCTTCTTGGCAACAGGGGCCTTCCTAGCATGGGCCTTGCTTGACTTGGCAGCATGTTTTTCCCTAGCTTTCAGACCAGCAAGAGATACCCTGGGAGCTCTACCCCCAGTGGTCTTCTTAGCTGTCTGCTTGGTCTTCACCATCTGAGTCTATTATGCCAACATTAGTGAGTGGCAGCAACATATGACACAGAAGGGAACAGTAGCATACCTTATTATCTTTACAAGACACAGAAGGTGTAGGGGACAAGCAGTAAGATAACAATAAATGCATTTAGTTTAGTACATATATCATGCAGCAGGGATAGATATCTACATATTTATGGAAAAGAGAAGCCAATGTATGCAACTACACAACACTGGGCACTGGATAAGCAGACCAAAGAGGGTGATATGTAAGTATCATCTGGACACCATGAAGTAGAAGTCCAACAACATACCTTATTGGATGAGACACAGCAAGGGAGATGCAGTGTGGCAGGAGGGAGATATGAATTGATAGCCTACTAGTGTGTTTTGTGAGTGGTACAGGGACACCAGGAACTGGGACAACATACCTTTTGTAGGATGAGACACAGCAAGGGGGTGTTCTGTGAGTGGTAGAGGGATGCCATGACCTGGGACGACATACCTTTTTTTTTTTGATAAGGCACAGCGAGGGGGTGTTCTGTGAGTTGTAGAGGGACACCACGAAGCTGGGACAACACACCTTTTTTTTTGGATGAGCACAGCGAGGGGGTGTTCTGTGGGTGTTTTGTGAGTTGTAGAGGGACGCTGTGCGAGCTGGAACGACGTACCTTTTTTTTGGATGAGGCATGGCGAGGGGGTGTTCTGTGAGTTGTAGAGGGATGCCGCGAAGCTGGGACAACATACCTTTTTTTTTTGGATGAGCACGGCAAGGGGGTGTTCTGTGAGTGGTAGAGGGATGCTGCAAAGCTGGGATGACATACCTTTTTTTTTGGATGAGCATGGCGAGGGGGTGTTCTGTGAGTTGTAGAGGGATGCCACGAAGCTGGGACAGCACACCTTTTTTTTTGGATGAGCATGGCGAGGGGGTGGTCTGTGGGTGTTTTGTGAGTTGTAGAGGGACGCTGTGCGAGCTGGGATGACGTACCTTTTTTTTGGATGAGGCATGGTGAGGGGGTGTTCTGTGAGTTGTAGAGGGATGCCACAAAGCTGGGATGACATACCTTTTTTTTTTGATGAGCACAGTGAGGGGGTGTTCTGTGAGTGGTAGAGGGACGCCATGAAGCTGGGACGACATACCTTTTTTTTTGGATGAGCATGGCAAGGGGGTGTTCTGTGAGTGGTAGAGGGACGCCGCGACCTGGGACGACTTACCTTTTGTTTTTTGATAAGGCACGGCGAGGGGGTGTTCTGTGGGTGTTTTGTGAGTGGTAGAGGGATGCCATGAGCTGGGACGACGTACCTTTTTTTGGATGAGGCACGGCAAGGAGGTGTTCTGTGAGTGGTAGAGGGACACCGTGACCTGGGACAACTTACCTTTTTTTTGGATAAGGCACAGCGAGGGGGTGTTCTGTGAGTTGTAGAGGGATGCCGCGAAGCTGGGATGACATACCTTTTTTTTGGATGAGCACGGCGAGGGGGTGTTCTGTGAGTTGTAGAGGGATGCCACGAAGTTGGGACGACATACCTTTTTTTTGGATAAGCATGGCAAGGGGGTGTTTTGTGAGTGGTAGAGGGATGCCAGGAAGTAGGACGACATACCTGTTTTGTGGATGAGACAAGGCAAGAGGGTGTTCTGTGAGTGGTAGAGAGACGCCACGCACTGGGATGACATACCTGTTTTTTGGATGAGACCCGGCGAGAGGGGGGGGTGTTTTGTGAGTTGTAGAGGGATGCTGCGAGCTACTTACCTTCTTTTTGAATGAATGGGCTTTGTGAGTAGTATGGGACACTGAACAACATGCAATAGACTGAGAAGAATGGCAGTGTCCTGGTGTGTGATGTGAGTGTTGAAGCCATGAGAGGTTTGACAACATACCTTTTTTGTTTTTTTTTTGAAGGGAGATGCAGCACGACGTACCTATTTTGTGTTTAGAGAGGGAGAGGTGCGAGAGATCCAGAGGATGATGACATACCAAAAATTTCGCTGAGATGCAGCAGGGCCAGAGAGTGGGATAATGCAACAACAGTTGGTGAGGGAGACACTGTGTGGCAAGAGGAGAGGAGCAAAAGACCGTGTCAATCCGGATACTTGGATGCACAGATCTTGATTTTGGACAGGTCATGTAGTGAGACCTATGATAATCTTGGACACAACCTTAATTGTGACATGAACAATGTCACGGCTGTCATGATTATCACACGTGTCTACCCATACTTCAGATGCATCTCTGGAACATTACGTAGGACTATATACGGAGTGGTCAGTCACCACTAGGCCAATTTCCAGTTTCAATAAGTGACTACATGTATTAAATGATCCGGTAGTGCTACTACAATACATTTTCTGTGAAATCCCAAGGGTAAGCCACCACTACTGCTCAGCCAACGGCACGAGGGAGTGCTTGCTCAGCTCGACAATGCAATTACGAGAATGTCAAGCGAACATTTAGTATTTAGTATATAGAAGCTGAATCCGGTGACAGTGGAGTCACGTGACATCGCTATTCGTGATGTATAGTACGACATGTGGTACTGACTCAGAGGAAGTTGCCGGCACTCATGGCAACTGAACACACACCGAGGCCGAGAATGTGACATTGACGGCGACCTTGCTAGTTGGACTGTGGCCAAACAACGGTACATAAGACTCAAGTATATAAATCCCCCCCAGTCAGTGGCATGTTTTTTCCCTTACTGCATTTCCCTGCAATGTGACGCTTCCCCTCCATCATCCTCCCTCTCCCTCCATCTCCATCTCCCTTTCCCCCTCTCTCTCTCCCATTTTGTGTGCTACATCATCTTTGTTTTTATCTCAGCCCATCGTCTTGGCTGTCATAAGGTAAGTGGCACCTCTGATCCCAGAATTTTCACATTACTTGATTACCATTACTTTGCAGCATCCTTGGCACTGTGAGTCAAAGTGTGGTTCAGTGGTGAAAACCAACCAAAACCAACACAAAAGACAATGAAAGCAAGTGGTGGTGTCCCTATGTGGTACCTAGATGGTAGAACCTGTTCTTTGGGAGGGTTTTTGCAAGCTACAACACTCAAAGATGAGTGCTGAGGGTTGGGGGGGCTCCTGACAAAGAGGGAGCAAGAATGTGATAGAAAGCGATAGGGTAGACTGCTATCAGCCTACAGAAGGATGGATGGTGACTTAATTCAATGTCCTAAGCTGTACTGAGCTCAGGGAGGGCTTGGAGCGAAGTATATGGATGATAGATGATAATAAGCAAAGTAGATGATAGCTAGACCCTTAATAAAGTCTCAACTATTGAAGCTGATGAATGACTTGCTGAGAGATGATAAATTGTGAGCAAGAGGGGCTCTCTGATGTCTTCTTTTTGCTACCTAAGTACAGTGACTTATATACAGTACAGGGGCGTTGCCTATGGAAAACAAGGTGTAAACACTTGGTAAGCGATTGGTAACTGATGAGTAAGGAATGTAAGTGATGGGTAATCGTCTTGGAAAGCATTGGTAAGCATTGGTAAGGATAAGTAAGCCAAAAAGTGAAGAATCAGTAAGCAAAGTCAAAAGATTGGTAAGTATTGGCAATAGGTGAGTCAAAGACAGTCAGAATGTCAAAGTATGAGTCAAGCAATGTCAGGAACTGGGAAAGTGCACTGGAATCGCATTAGGGGGAGGCTGTGCATGTCACATCTTGAAGAGATCGCTTCTAGGCCAAAGTGGGATGACAGAGAGGCAGTGCTGATCTGATGCCAACATAGTACATCCAAAAGCAGACAGGGTGAGTCAGATGTCAACAGGGGTCAAGCTTTGGGGGTCTGTGGGGTGACAGGAGCATAGGGGATTGCAACTTTCCCCCCCAAACCATCCTCTCAGTGAAGCAAATAAAAACTTCATGAATGAGGCTCTGTTGGAAGAGAGGATGAAGGGGGAGCATCTTCTGCTGTATCTTGCAACAAGGAGGCAAGATGTGCATCATACTCGTCATGGATGCGATCAGGGAGAGTGGAGAACAGTAGATTATACTGTAGCTGTCGCAATTTTGGAAGAATGATGGATGAGACTGGTATGAAGATGTTGCAGGGGGCAGGGAGGAAGGATCCATATGCTTCTTGGACTGGAGAGACTGAAACAACCACATAAGACCTTTCCAAGTGAATGACAGACCTGAGGTGACCAAAGAACATCCTCCTGGAGGTCATACTGACAAAAAGAACACACTGTCCAAGCTGGGTGGGCTGAGAGGGGGCAGACGAGGGTGGGATGTACCAGGATGCTTCAGGACGGAAGCTGGTAGGAACTCCTGGTAGATATATGTAGCCATGGTCCCTAGCAAAGGGGACAAGTGAAATGACTGATGTGGAGGCAGCCATATCAGAAGAATTAGCGAAATGAGTGTCTTTTGGAGGGAGTGCTGTAGAAATGTGTGGAGTGTGCAAATCCTTTCCAATCTTGGAAGGTAGGATCACGTGGCTGAGCACTACAAGCAAGTGTGGGAATGGTTTCGGTGTCTGCAGAATTGGTGGAGATATGTTGAAAACTGGAATGCCATACACAGGGCACTTAAGAATTTTATTGGCGCTTAACTCGCCTCCTCCTTTTTCTTTGGCATTGACAACCTGTTCTTGTGCGAGGGATGACTGCCAACATTGCTGGCTGTCCTTCTTCACATGAGGGCTATGGTCTTCACCTCCATTCATCAGCTACATCCATGTCCACCTCACCAAACACCTTTGGTGTGTGACAACGTACCACAGACCCAGACACACATGACACCCTCCAGCTCCTTGCACCTTCAACGCCAAAGACTTCTGAGTGGTGGAGCGATACCTGGATCCCAGTCGTTGAGCCAGAATATTAATAGCATTGTGCGTGGACATCACGTACCACAGATGAACATGGCACCCTCAAACACCCTGCAGGGCACTCGCCTCCCTTCTGCGCCAGGCCTAGATGATCCATTTGGCCCTGGCCCTGCTCAGTGAAGAGACCACAGTGGACCATCGGTCAGTCACTACTAATTGTTGTTGTCAGTCGATCAACTCACCCTATCTGCCAAGCTCTTGTCACCCAAGTTCTCCTTTGATATGATGGAGCCGACCAGTGCCGTCAATTCGCAGGGATTGCAGGACGAGGTATCCTATCCACACCAAGGAAACCAACCAAGCCAACATCTTGGCTTCACTCCTTACCATGGGGGTGTCAACGGTTGTGATGAAACGTCCTTCTCATATGCTGGAAGGCCTTCCCATAGTCAGTCGAATGGCAGAGGACGTAGTGAGATGCCAATGGAAGACTATCAGACTTTATATTCAGCATCCCGCTCTTGAACTGGATCTTACCAAGGAGACCAGCTTAGCTTGCATGCTACGGTTCCACAGCTCACAGCTCATGTCAAACACCTCAGCAAGGCCAACACCAGCATGGAAGAACAGCTTACCAGCATCAGGGAGGCAACTGAATCTCTCGTTTCGCACCTTGAAACTGTCGAGCAAATGCTTAGAGAACTGCAGGAGAAATGTGTGGATCAACAGAAGCATACTTTGTCGAGAATAAATTCAAATGACCATTCTGTTCTCAAGGTACGTTACGCTATCATTCAGTATCGGAGTGCGCACTCACCAGGCACCAGTCTATTATCCAGCCACTCTTCTCTCACATGTGTGGAATCGAGTGTGAAGGGACAAAAAGAAACTGCATCGCAGCCCTTGCTGCTATCAAACCACTCAAGAACAATGAACCTTTCATATTGATGAGTGACAGCACACATCTTTGGCACCCCAACTGGCTCGGCAACGTAGACAACAAACTGAATGACATGTTCATTAAAGAAGTTGCCAAGCATGTCTTTAATAATGAAAAGGTATCATCTGGTAGCACGTGAATAATATGAGAATTGCAAGCGCTCACCCAACATGCAATAGAGCCAGAGGGAACAGCTCCAATTAAAAACCATACCTGACGAGTCTTTCGACCTCCAAATAATGAAAGATTGCGCAAAAACATACTTCCGCCTCCAACTTAACCCCACCAGTACCAATGTTAGCACTGAAGTTGACAATGCACTCTTGAGTTGCACGAAAGGTATCATTGCCAAGCTCTGGTGACATCGTCATTAGGGAGATTTCTATGGTCTGGTGTATGGCTGTGAGTGGAAGACACATGAACAGTAATTAGCCACACGTACCACAGGGCCTTGGGAGTTTGGCTCGAAAGAGAGCATAACGTTTTGGACACTGGTTGGGACATGAAGTTGAAGGATGTGTGGCCTACATTTGATGACTGTCAGGGGACCAACAAACTTGGTTTCGTCGGCTTGTGAGGTTGGAACCACCTGGTTAGCATTGATATGGAACTTTTGGAGGTGAGTAGATAGGCTGGAGGACTTGAGTATGACATACCTTGGGTTGGTTCATGGTGTACATGGCAAACCGGTGAACTTGGAGACCAAGGAAAATTTTCGCAAAGTCCATTATTTTTTCTGAGGGGTGCAAGGGTGGCAAGAGCCACTCTTCCGATGGTATTATAGTTGGACTATGGCCGATGGAGTCGAGCATAGTCGGGGTGGGGAAATGCACATGCGAGAGGTCAGGCTATTGGTGTATTGCCTATATTCAGATCTTGCCTACGTTGGATTGTTTGGATATGTTACTCAAAAATCATTGAGTCGGACTTTACTCAGACTAATAGCTATATCTTACAAAAAAAAATCAAGGTCAGATTATCTACATTTGGAGAATCCAGTTATGCCCCCTGCTAAAATCTCGTTTCCACAGTGATTGGTGCATTATGTGAAGGACAAAGTACATGACTGACTCAAGGTCACAAGACCAGCATGGACTACCCAAAAGGACATTCTTGGGTTGGCTGTCAGATACACTTAAAACACATTTTAGTGGCAATTTTTGGGTACAAATATTTTAAATACATTTGATAACCTTGTTCTGGACTTGTGTGGTGTTGTTTTGGGGATGAAAATTTTTCAATACAGCTGAAAACCTTGCTTTTGACTCTTCCTGTGCTCAATCATGTGTCGTTGTAGAACCAAAGTCCTTGGCAAAAGCTCTGCAGGAGGTTTGTATAAATTTGAAGTCACTAAAACCCGGAGAGGAAAGGACACCTACAAGGAGGTGGATGCTAGACACCTCTACCTCCCATCTCAGAGTCAACCTTCAACTCCAAGGACCCCCAGGACAATAGGCTCCCAAAATGTTGTCCCAGACTCCTTTGACATGCCTACCTTGGACTGGAATGATGAGGAAGATACCCCAAATACTAGGAGGGTTACCAAGGTGGGAAGTTTTGCCTGATACTGCATTGGCTAAATTATCCCCTAGAGTCAAAATGATTTCATCAGAGAATGGCTGCCTTGGAGAGCAGAATATCTCAAAGTCATTCTTGAGGGAGAGCAGCTGGCTAAGGGGGGGATATGTGAGCAGTGCTGTCAGGCAGAAGGAAGTATCAGATGCATGTCCTGCATTGGTGTGCATGCCTGGTGTGGTCCTTGTGCTGTGAAAGTGCATCAAAATCTTCCATTCCACAAGGTACAAAGATGGAATGCTACTCATTACCAGGATACCTCTTTGATGGCACTTGGGTTCCTTTGGCACATTGGCCATGGGGGTTGTCCTTGCCCTCAAAACAGACAGAATCAGGATCCAGACTCAGAGGAGTTGGGCTATACTTCTGGGGAAGGGCCTCCCAATTACAGGTCAATGGCAGTCATATCCTGTAGCCTCCATGTTAACCTCTGGTAGCAGGAGATCCTTCAGATCAAAAATGACCATAGTGCACACAGAAGGAATTTTCACTCATGAGATTTCTTGGTGCAATTGCCCTGGGTCAGATCCAATCGACTGGCACCTTGATTTACTCAGGGAAAGACTCTTTCCAGCCAGTATAACAAAGCCCAAGACTGCTTTCACCTTTGATGTTCTTAATCACTTTCTCATTGATGCCCTGGAATGCAAGACTTCAGCTATGAGTTTCTATCAGAAGCTGAAGAGGTTCACCAACAATGCATTTCCTGACTGTATACCAGTTGAGTGCCATGCACTATTTGCTCTTAGGGGGTTCTATCAATGCATTCATTTCCAATTAGGACAGGTACTGAGAGCTGATGAGGGTTTCCAGACTGTGGAGGGATTTGAAACATAGGAAATGGTTTGGCTTTGGTCATGATAAAGAACAAGATCCTAGACAAGGAGAACTTGCACTCTTTTGTCCTGCCTGCCCACAACCAGGTATTAATTTACCTCCAGATTGGAAAACCCAATATGACAGGTATGGAGTGATAATCTGTAGGGTTTTGATTTCTAACTCCCCTCCCCCCTTAGTGATACCATAATGAGGCAATATGTCATGGATGGCAACTTCACTGCTCAGCATATGAAAATGAACAAGCCTGAGTTGGATGTGTCATTAGCAGATGGAACTGGTTACATGGTTGCTGAAAAGCCCTACCAGGCCCATCTTGAGCAGTCTTTGGATAACAAGGAGGTGAGTTGTCCCAAGGTCATGGAGTTTAAATGACCCACTGTACTGGTAGAGATCTGCCTGCAGCAATCACAGGGCAATCAATGCTGCTAATATTAACAAGTCCAATCTCCGGTCCACCAGGATTGGTGCCACAGCCTGTGCTTGGCATGGTTGCTTTGTTCCCCATTCTGTGGTGGACTTTCAGAAAGGGGAAAAGTGAGTGGACCTGATGGATGTACTGGAAGCCTTTGGAACTCATTTTGTGCTAGGTACATGAACACAGATTACTCCATCTGCAGTGCTCTTGATTATCATTCAGAAAGCATCACAAAGGCCCTTGTCATTTATGATGTTGGGTGCCAGTGGAGTATTAACTTCCAGAGTTGGGTAAAATCCAGCTGCTCTCTCCATCTCCCTCCCTCCCTGGAAATCATTCCTGCTGTGGGGAAGTTTCATCTTGCTGCCCACAAACTCTCTTGCTTTCCAAGATATAGCCTCAACTTTATCAAGGGTGCTGGTCATCTGGATGGTGAAATTTTGGAGACATTGTGGGCTCCATTCAATAAGATCTCTCCCACTGCAAGGTCTATGACTCAGGCCCACAGACAAGAAGTGTATGATGACCATATGAGAGATTCTAACTGGAAAAAAATTGTCAACATGGGTGAGAGACCTTTTCTTCAAAGAGAAGTTAATTTACCCTGTACATCTCAGTTCCTGCACTGTTGAAAAAATACAAGACCTCACACAAGTGCCTAGAAGAAATTAATCAGGCATATGAGCAGTTGACAGCTGTTCTAGACCCTGTCCAACTTGCCCAATGGGAGTCAGATGTTCTTGAGGCAGAAGCAAATCGAGGTGATTCCCTAGACATTTATTTGTTGAAAGGGGAAAAAAGGTCAGTATGTTCCTAAGAAACCCTGGGCATGTCTGATGGCCTGTAGCCCCTACCATGGGTGAAGTGCAGTTAAAGCTCATGAAAAATCCACCTGTGTCCCCAGGGAGCCATGGTTCTGTGGCTTGGCTTGTGGAAGGAATTAGCATAGAGGATGCACAGTATGGTCTGTGGTTTCCAGAAGCAATAGGTTGCTAACCAGACCTGCAGGGACCAGCTAAGATCTGAGCTTAGACAGAGCCACATGTCTACCAGACAAGAAATCAAAGTCTCAGAGAAAAGAAAAAGACTTTCTGCCAGGATTGACAAATTCCATGGCACCAGCCAGGCATTTCTCAAAGGTTTGGAGGTGGACGATGTCTTCATACCCCAGGATGATCCAGCATTCCTTGGGCAAGGTGAAGAAATTGATGACAATGGAGAGTACTGGGAAGATGATGAGGATTGGGAGGCTACAGAAGAAGGAGAGGAGCTACCTGCTGAGCTCATGAGTATATGGATGCCCTCATCCATTGGAGCAACCAAACTGATGGAGCTTGGCCTTCATGACCTCCTCAAAGAAGAAATGGAACTCAGGATTGGGCAAGCTAATGATTGTCTAGACCAGCTCCAAACCAACCTTGGACACAAGGCAATGTTATACAGACAGAACTTCTGCAGTGCACAATCAACTAGGGAAGGTACAAGAACCAAGCAGGACATCCAAAAAGTGGTGGCTCAGGATAAACAAGCAGGTCAGAAGTTATCAGAGGGCAAGGCAGGCCATTCTCCAGTTGGAACCCAATCAAGAGATTGGACAAAAATATCAGGCTATTCAGCCCCAGGACCTGGCAGTGAGTAAGGATGTTACAGAGGAGAACCAGGTTTGGGCAGGGAACCAGCAAAATGGCATGGTTTTGGATGATGGATGGTGAACAGGGTCAACTGAATGCTGAGAAGGGGGGTTTAATGGAGGAGTGTAAGTGTTAATACTACTCAAAAAAATCTCACCAATAAATTGTGGGGCAGTTTACAGGATCAACTGGCTCAAAGCAAGGGCAAGAAGGGACAGGTGGAAAGAAGCATTGTCATTGGTGAGGCATGAGATGGTTTGGGCCATCTTATGGTTTGAGTTCCAGAAGGACATATGGGAGAAAAGGGCTCTACAATTGTTGGAACCAGGGAAAAAGGCTTATGCTCATAAGCAGATAGTGTTGTGGACTGACTTTTCCAAAAAGGCCCAATTGATGTTCCAAGGTAAACAAATGGATTGTATTTAGAACATGGGTATATGTGTATAGTTTTCCAATTACCCTTGCTTTGCACTTGGCATCTGAATCAAAGTGAATAGCAAATACATCAAAACAATCATACCATAATGGTACCTTTCCTAAAAGAGTGATGGCCAAAAACTTCAACCTCCTGCCTAAATTGGGAAAGGCTGAAAAATTTTCACCTTGCTTCCAACCTCCATCATCTGTGCTGCTAATTATCCCCCTGATTTTATTCTCTCATGGCTGATTGGTCTGAAGTCTACTCTGATCTGCTGTCCTCCTATGTGGAGCAGTACACAGATGCCCGAGGGAATCCTGACCTCAGGGCCCAGATCCTGGCTGATGTGAAATCCCAGATCCTTCAGCAAGCATCTTCAGGATCTGTGGAATTGCCCCAGAACTTGAGAGTGGTAGGGTATCTTTTTCATCAAGTTTCACATATCTCAAGTGTATTTAGGTCATCAGAAGGGTGTTTTTGCCAGAACTAGACCCTGAAGACCAGGATGATGAGGAACACATCATTGAGAGCATCCTGGCTGCAACAGACAAGAGGAAGGAGCAGCCTGGGACTGGTGAGGATGAGGATGGCAGAGAGGAGAGGACCAGACCTACCAAGGCTGGAAATTACAGAAAACCCTTCACTGATTTTACTGCCTCCCAGCAGCTCTTCAAAGAGGACATGGATGCCTATGATAGGGAGAGGAGGGACACCAAGGACCCCAAGACCATAGGTCAGAGGACCAAAATCATCCAACAGTGGTGGGAGTCTCTTGCAGATGACAAGAAGGCTGAAGCAGGGAGGGCTGCTTCCAAGTGGAATAAGTTGGGAGCTCCAAAAGAAACTCATGAATTGTCAGTGCTGGTCTACTTCAAATGTCTTATACTAATCATGCAATAATTCAGGTACAGGAGAAAAAATTTTCACAACATGGCCAGAGACTTTATTGAAACAGTCAGGAGGACCATGGGGTCAAATATAGTGATGTTTCTGGCTCATGAGACTACTGATTCTCAGATCAAGATGGCAGTGTAGGTTCCCCTTTACCTTGTCTATCCAATGCTAATGAAGAAACCTAGCTTTGAAACACAACCCCCTGATGGGAAGAAGGCCTTCTCAGAGTCTTCAGAGCCCACCAAGGATTGGGTTCTAAAGGGAGAGCAAATGTTAACCAATTATCTTTTGACTGAAGCTGGTAAGTGATAAACAGTTGGTGATCAATGTAATATGTGTACCTAGGTTGATTCCATACTCAGCTGAGGAAGATTTGAATGATGAGAATCCAAAGGTGGAGATAGCCTTGGATGATGAAGGAAACCCAGAGGTACCAGCTTGGACTGGTCAGAAACTCAAGGTCCAGCAGAGTTTGGCAAGAATGGTCTTCCAGGCTGCCTATGGTATGTTCTTGATTGTCAAGTGCATCTACAGTTGTTGATGGAAGTTGGAAACATAGCAAAGTTTACAGGGAAGCCCAAGGCCAAGGTTCCCTGGGGCCTGCTTATCAAGTCCCATTTGGAGTATCTGAGTTCCGATTCCATCCCAGAAGGATTTGTGATGAAAGATCCTTCAAAATGGACCAAGGCCGACATGTGGATGCTTTGGAATCATTGGAATTCCCAAGAGGAGGAGGATAAGGTGATTGTTTCATTCATCAAGTGCACAAAAAGGAGGATGAGCCACTGGGAAGGCCCTGGAACAGGAAAACCCCATCCAAAAAGAGAGAGTGGATGAGCCCTGGGGAGGACAGTGAAGCTGGGGTGGAGGCCAAGCCCTCAGATTTAGGGGAAGAAATTGGTGGGGCTGGTATGACCCCTATAGCAACTTCATCAGGGGCCCAGGATATCCTTGACTCTGGGAGGGCCCCATCTGAAGATACCCCTCATGAATCCAGCCCTGCTTGTCATGCCAATGGGGACAGGGTGAAATATTTAAAGTCCCTTTGCATCATGCCCAGGTACCAGGAACTTGTTGAGCTTGTAGATGGCTTGCCAGAGACAGTAAGTGATAAACTTTCTTCAAATACCAGGTTAACAAACATTTTGTACAGGAACCTGATGCTGGACCAGTCAACCTGCCTGTCTGGGCATCTTGGGCCTGGAGTGCCCAGTATTTGCCCCAGGAGATGCATGGCAATGGGGATTCCTTCTGGAAGGCACTGTATCAATTGCAAAGTGAAAAGTTTGCATCCACCCAGAAAGGTCTTACCATTGTACTGGGATTTGGTTTGTTGTGGAGGGAGTGCAAAAGAGCACAGGACATAGAATCAGATGACCCTGAAGCTGCTAATCTGGGCTTTTTGCTAGGCTCAGGTCTTGATATCCACAAGGGGGAAGATGTTATGGGTGCAGTGGGGCTGGTAGTTGCAAGACTGCAGCAGAATTCTGGTGGCTCAAGCAGAGGGATTGGTGCACAGGAAACAACTGGGGTCAGTGCAGGGGATTCCTGTCCCACCCAGGGGGGTGGCATGAAGGAATCCCAGAATACAAGAAAGGATGTGAGGAAAAGAAAAAGGGGAGGCAGTGGGGATGTTGATCAGAAGATGGCAAAGGAGGGTGAAGAGGCAAGCAAGAAATCAACTAGAGCTCATCAACCAACCAAGAGAGCTCTGGGTCTTGGTCTATAAATAAACTGTAGATGGTGTGAATCAAAAGGATCCCTATATATGGCTACCCATGCTCATTGCAAGTTTCAAACCCTGTGAGATCACTGACATCACCTGGAGGTGAAGAATGGCCATGGATTCAGGGGGTAAGGCCACCCCCCAGTGAGGTTGGCCAACACTGGTCTCAGGGGGTATGTCCATCTGGAAGTGTCATCAGAGTCAATACTTCTGGTAACATCTAAATTGACAAGCAATTGATTATGCCAAGGGAATTTTCAGGGTTTGGCCAACCCTACTTCCAGGTGGTGAGGTCTGTGTCCATCCCCCAGTGAAATTGGCCGACACCACTTCCAGGGTGTGAGTCCATCCCCCAGTGAGGTCGGCCGACACCACTTCCAGGGTGTGGGTCCATCCCCCAGTGAGGTCAGCCGACACCACTTCCAGGGTGCGGGTCCATCACCCAGTGAGGTCAGCCGACACCACTTCCAGGGTGTGGGTCCATCCCCCAGTGAGGTCGGCTGACCTCCCTCCAACATGTCGGCCTATCCACCATCAGGGTCTATAGGCCGATGTCAGTTAGTCCCACTTTCAGGACCAAATGTGCATGTCGGATGACCCACTTTCTGGATTACATGTGACTGAAGGGTCTGGGTTTGCATGCCTATAAGGTGGTTTAAATGTGGAGGGCTTTTTTTTGCCAAGGCATGGTCTCTTCGTGCTGTTGTTAATGACACAGGAAGTGGTTGGATAGTTGAGGGGCACACAGAGATTGAAATCTCAGAAAGAAACTTACTGGTATCATTCAAGAATTGGAATATCAGTCAATCAACATCTGTTCTCCCTCCTGCACACAATATCTTAGGTATGTTTCTTTTACTACTACATTTGTCCTACTCAAAACAACTAGGAATTGAAAATAGTTGTCAGGCTGGACTGTTGTTGGAACCATGGACACTCACAAACCCACATGAGGGAAATCATTGGCATGTGCTTGCAAATGGAGCTTATGTCTATGGTTTTCCAATCTGGCTTTACTGTGATGATACTTCAGGGAATGTATCAAAACGTTGGAACAAGCACCATTCATTCCTGTTCACACCAGCTGGCTTGCCACATGCTGCAGTGCATCAGGAATACAATGTTCACTTCCTATGCACATCTAATGTTGCACCACCCCTTGAAATATTGGATGGTTTTGTAAATCAGCTTGAGTAAGTTTATGTTATTTTTGGTATTCACTCTGATTTATACATATTTTCTAGGGCTGCTCAAGAGACAGGTGTATGGGCATGGGATTGTGTACACAAGGAGCAAGTGTTAATGATTCCCTCTGTCTTAGCCCTGTTGGGGGACAATCCAATGCAAAGTGAGCTTGCCTGTCATGTAGGGTTGAGGGGAAAATACTTCTGTCGTGTTTGCAATGTCAAAGGCCATGACACTCAAGACTTGGACACAAATGCTAATGATGAAACACTGGAGCAGAGTGATGGAGGACAGAGTGATGGTCAGAGGTCAGTCAGGAGTGCAGGGGGGGAGTCAGTTAGTGGTAGAAAGAAGGGAAAAGGGAAAGAGACAATGAGTGGTATGGTTTCTCCAATTAAGCAATTTCTGAAGGTATGGGCACATATGACTGTCTAGGCAACTACTTAAAATTTTAACCAAGATTGGTGAACCTCGCCAGTGAGAGCAGTCAATAATTGAGCTCAAATCAATGTTTACAATGGCATCTACCATAGGGAATCAAACCAAAATCAAGGAGAAGATGACATCAACTGGATTGAAAGACACATATCTTGAATACTTTATCAATGGGATGGCAGCATCATGTAAGAGGCAGCAGGGAAGCAGTTCAAAGCAGGAGGCACTGGATGTGTTCATCAAGGGACTTCCTGAGAATGTGTATAGCCCAGTGTGGTGCATCAAAGGTGAATGGCTTGACATGTGACACAAAGAAAAAAATCCTCACAACCTCATAGGACTTAATCCTCATGCAGACACTCCTGTGGAGGTGCTGCACACTGTTCTTTTAGGATTTGTCAAGTATTTCTGGAGAGATGTGGTGAACATCAGGGTTGGCAAGAACAAAATAAAGTGTGAACTTCTTGAAGCTTGCCTGTCTTCATTTGATACAACAGGGCTAGGGATACCACCCCTGTCTGGTCACACCCTTGTCCAGTATGCTGGATCATTGGTGGGCTGTGACTTTCGTGCAATAGCACAGGCTGCACCATTTGTTCTCCATGGACTTGTTCCACAAGAATGCTATGAGGCCTGGGTAGCATTATCAAAAATGATCCCCCTCATTTGGAAACCAGAAATTGAAGATGTTGATGCTCACTTGGTAAGTGAATAGAACTTCCCCTTTTGTTTAAGACTTATTTCATGTGCCAGACACAACTTGAAATTGCAATTCAAGAATTTCTTGCTTGCACTGCATGCTGGACACCTCACTGGTTCAACAAACCCAAATGTCATATATTGCTCCACCTTCCAGAGCATATCCATCATTTTGGTCCTGCTGCCTTGTTTGCCACTGAAGGATTTGAGTCATTCAATGCAGTCATCCATGCCAAAAGTGTTCACTCAAACCAACAATCTCCATCACGTGACATTGCAAAGGCATTTGCTCATGGAAACCGCATTCATCACATTCTCAGTGGTGCTCCATTACACATCCATGCAAATCACCCCAACCTTGGAGTTCAAATAAAGAAGCTGATTGAGAAGCCACCTCTGGATGCCCTGAATGCTGGAGATGCTGGAGTTTGGTGGCCTGCAGGCACAGCCCTGCTGACACTTGTTAGTAAACCCAATATTATCACAGATTATCTGGGTATGGATAGCTCCTCTCTATCAAAGCCAGGATCTTGTGTAAAGGACAACCTGCCCTGGCATCCATACCATGAAACCAGGACTGGCCAACAATTCCCCACAGCTCTCTCTTTCCTTTCCCAGGAAATACTCCATGACAATAATTTTCATACATGCAGGTCTATGATCTTGATGAATGGGGACAGATGCATTCCAGGCCAATGGGTTCTCATTCACCAACAGAATGGTCAGCAACCTCTGGTTGCACAGGTGAAGGAGATTATTCAAAGGTGAGGGTCAACTGCAGAGATGACATCTTCCCCAGATGCCATTTTTCTTCAGTCAGGAAAAATACAGGGATCCACCAGACCTTATCAGATGCCATTAGTGCAGTATGATGATACCAATATACTTCTCCCCATTGAGGTAAGTTTACTACATTTATCCATTCATGATACTTAGTTCAAGTAGCAGTTACTGTGCTCAGTCAACCTTCAGCATTGTTGTGATATCCACAATTGTGCTGCAGCTCACCAGGGAACATCCAATACCTCCCCCAGTATTGTTCACAAGGGAAACCCAAATGATTTTGTGCTAAACACTGCAAAAATGTGTGATGCCAAGCACATTCTGCCCCTAGTTTGTGAACCCCTAACTCCACTCAGCACAGATCATGCAATTATGGAGGGTTGTGATTGTGAGATAGACAATAAAAAATCTACACAATACCCAAACAATACCCCCCAACCTTGGGCAAGCTCATCAGGGCATTCTATTAGGCTGATTAAATAGTAGATGCTACCATTATGCTCCAAGTCTAATAGATGTGTTGTTCATATTACTGGTCATGTGTTCCTTAGTCAGCATATCACTGTGAGTTGCACTGTGATACACCTTTGTGAAACCAGTGCAGGGGCCTCGTTCTTGGATGTGGTGTGCAAACCATCATGTCTTGTTATGCCTGTGTACAGCCTTTTGATGATCCTACCAGTCCATGTTGGAAACATGTGGATGAACATGTGGACACCTATCTCAGTTCCAATGCACATAAAAACTCACTCAGCTGCCCTCCATGGTTCCCCCAGTCTGTCAACTCACTCCACTCATTTCTACTACTGTACCCAAGACCCTCAATGTCTTTCAATTTTTCTAATATCAGGAACTCTCCATCTACTCAGTCTAGTAGTCATTCATTTCCTACTCCATCCACCACCCCATTCACCCATACCCCATCCACCACCCCACACTTCCCCCCTGCTCAAAACAATCCCAATATCAATCCCACCCTTCTGGATGAAGATGTCATCCCAGCTCGCTTTATTGATGCCCTCACCAATCAGTTTAGTTTTGGTGATTCCGAGCAGGACCTACAGCATAACCTCCATGGCTTTGCAAAGGCAGGTAACTCTTTGTGACAGAATCGTAATACTATTACATTGGCAGATGGGGCATGGCCTCCAGAAAGCAGATATTGCTACACATTCATACTTACTTGCAGCCATTTTCAGCTTAATCAAGGAAAACCAGGTAATGACCAATGTGCACCACAACACACAACAACTTCTTGCAGACCTGCAAATTCAACTCAAAAACACATTTACACTATCACACGAACAGAAGGTTAGTTTATTTAGCACACAAATTCAGCCATTCATCCATTTCTTTCTTGTAGGCTAATGTCCATATTGTTGCTGGAGACATAATTTTTGAGGCTAGCCAGATCACATTTATGACAATCCACTTTGACGTTGAGGTTCACAACCATATATACTGATTCTAAGTCACTCTAATTCCACCAGTCAAAGGTCCAGCAATCCCAAAAAGAATTACAGTTCACAAATATCTATGGTAACCCAGCACAAGAGAAAATCCTAATGGCATATATCAAGCAGCAATGCTCAAGCATTTGTAATTCATTCTGAGAGCTGGTATGTCTCATTTTCTGTTTCCAACTCCATCCTGATTGATTCATTTGTCATAGCTGTGAGATAGTGTCATTGGAGATGGAACATGCACACTCTCTGATTTTGTGTTTGAAAGTGCACAGTGGTACAAAATTGGTGGACCCACTTTGGGCCTCACACCAGCATGCACCACTCGACTTGCTATACTTGTAAGTGGTACATACCAATTACAATTTTTGTATTAATTTTGTGTGTTAGCACCATTTTGCTTATGAAAATCCTGAGCTCCTTGACTGTGAGGAAGATGTTGAGGATGATTCACCACCAATGGAAGATGACTCAGGCTCACAGCACCACTCTGCCCAAGAGCCTCAAAAGAAAAAGCAAAAGCATGGTGGCCGTGTCCCCAGGGGAGAGGATTTCTGGTTGCAAGTGGAAAAATGGTTTGATGCATGCAGAAAGCAATGGGGCAATTCATGGACCACACCCAACTGGAACAGGTGAGAATATGAGCCATCATACACACAGCAGTCATGCTAACACCTGCCTACACTCTAGCTACATCTCAGAAACAATTGCCAAGGACGAAGATTGCTACAAGGTCCATGTCATTCACAACCCATTCATGGAAGATGTGCACACAGATGACAGGTTTTTCACTGGGCCCATCACTTCAGCTGGTCTTGGGGCTGCTGAGGATCTCCTTCAAGAAATGGTTTGATGGTTTACATCCATACTGTACCCCATTCAATCTCCTGTCATCCATAGCACAACACTCCATACATTTTAGTACCATATGATTAAAGGATGTTGTCTACATTGAGCATTACACCCACTTTCATTATACATCACCCAATGTTTGAGCATCCAACTCCACATGTGTGATCACAGCTGTCAGAGAGTGCATCCTCGATCTCCTCCCCAGCATGTACTCTGCTCAGCATGATGTCCAGTTGAGAGTTGTCACTGTTTGTCAGCTTGTCATGTGACACATGGTCCTCGTACCATAATGCATTCATATGTGATCTGTAGCAGCAGCCAAATGAGTGAATAGACAACAAATTCATGCATTACAACCTGAGGCAGTGGCATAATAATCTGTGGGCCAACTATTCTTCAACCTACAGCTCAGCTACATTGAAACATATTATTTGCCAAGCTCACCCATCCAATGCCACAGAGCAAACCTTGTATTCTACTTCAACCAGTGACAACAACCAGCAACAACCAAAATTTGGTGAGCAGAGTCCATTGTAACCACCAGACAGAATTCCCTTTTTAACTGCATTCTCAATGATAGAATACACTAATTGCATCTGCCTATGGTTAACCAGGAGCCAACAGTTTTGCATGCTGGTGTAAGATACATTGATATATTACACAGAAGACTCACCAACACATACCTTTTAGGATCTGCATTAATTTTTCATTTTGAATGCAGTGGCCTAGATCCCTAATCAATGTAGATCACCTAGTGTAAGATAAGATGTGTTGACACACTCCCTGTTGAATGCAACAAATGTATCAGTGTGTTCTGCATCAACATGTTAAGTATAAAATGTTTTGTTTATATGCCTCACCTTGTCTCGACTCTCTGTCCATTGCATTATAACTGTTGGCTGCCAGTAAGTTTGATTTTGTTGCACAGTACACTTTAGGGTTAGTGACTGGCATCATGTTGTAGACATGCCAAGGAAGGAATGGACAATCCCCAAGCAGAAGAAGTTTTTGCAGGATGAGTTAGTGCAGTACTTGAGTATGAGCACCAAGGAATACTCATGCTACTGGCTGACTGTCTTCAAACAATGGTCTCAACTCTGGCCTGAGAGGGCTGTTGCATTCCTGGACCTCCCACTGGACATATCATTGACTCTTGAGCAGGACAAGATCCTTGGAGATGCTGTCACCAAGTGCCAACAGGTCAGCAATATCACATTACTTCATGGAAGAGCTCACTGAATTTCGTGCAGCAATTATGACAGTGGTTGTGCTGGCACATGGGAGCTGGGAAAAATTGGGCTGCAAACAGGAAGACATTGACCATTATTGACAGCTTGATGAAAGCTAAAACTCACATAAAAAAGCTGCTGGAAATTTATTCAAAAATGTACTATACCTCACAGGTCAAGCCTGACATCTCAACTGATAGTAACATTTCCAGCCTTCATGATCAGATTGGCAAAAAGTTTAGGGTGGAACCTCAAGAGATCCAAGATGAAGTTATGCACATCCATAACAAGCAACATACCAGTAGGAAGATGCCACCCACTGAGAGTGACAATGAAATCAGTGCTGATGTTGATGCTGAAACATGTAGAAGGTGGGAACACTGGCTGTGATGCTGAGGGCAGTTAGCACTCATTCCTCTTTCAGTAATATACAGCAGTGCATGCCAGCACTCATACAGATTCTCACTCATTTGTCACAAAAGACTGGCTGGTCCTTTTCAGTTCTGATGGGTGGGCCAGATCCAGCAGATGCTGAAGAGCAGTGTGTGGTTGCAAGGTGAGAAAAGTACTACTAATTGTGTTTTAGCTCACACAACAGTGTTTGTAAAGCCTTCACATCGGGAAGAATAGATGTGGACTTAATTTTGCAGAGTCTTACCATCACTTTGACTCCACTGTGGTGCAAGCATATGCAGAATTCCTTGACTCAAAGCTTTGTAAGTTTCTATTCTTTAGTTAGAAAAGCCACAATGCTGACTGGGAAGATGATAATGTACCCATTATTGCAGCCTCCTCCATCAGCAAGAAAACAGGCCATGACAAGGGCAGCAATGCAAATGATTGTGCTGATGTCATGAAGGGTGACAATGACAATGAGCCTGACAACCACAGGAACATGGATGATGAAGATGACACTGATGTTGGTGAGGGTCAGGAAGGTAATGATGCAGGCATTGGCAAGGACAATGAAGGGGACAATGTGGGCATTGGTGATGACCAGGAAGGTGATGATTCAGGCATCGATGATGACCAGGAGGTCAACAATGCTGGGCATTCAGACAAGTTGAGCAATGCTTCCACTCTCATATTTATATTCTCAACACTTTGGTATTTAAGTGTTGCAACTTCTCATGATGGTATGTCTGTTGCAACAACTCCACCCTGACTCATCACAGGTTCTGCTCTTGCAACATCATGTTATCCTATCATCTCACCACTGCACATTCAGACCATGCATCCAAGTATTGCAAGTCTGGCCAAAACTCCAGCATATGTTGCAACACCTTCACACATTGCAATGCCCAGTTCCATCATGGGACTTCTGAGTGTTGCAATGCCTGAGTGCACTCTTGTCCCTTCAGTGAGTATCCAGCCTTCTGGTATTTCCAATCATCTTTTATCTTCATAGGATTTTGGCTCTTTTGGTGTGGAACTGGATAGCATTCTCCAGCCAACACAATGTTGATGTTTACACCACAGTGGAACTTTGATGGCCTACCCCTCATTACCTCTAACCTGGCAACTGTCCATGCTATGAACCATTTGATGTCTCTTACTGGTAGTACTACCAATCCATCTCTGGACTATTTCACAACAGCAGGGCAATATGAGCACTTGACACAAGACCTGCCTTTGTTACCTCCCACCCCATCTGACAACAGCTCTCTGCCACCAGCCTCCAAGGCACTTGGGGACCCTCCACCAGGCTGTCCTAAATGCAAACCAGTCCCATCCTTGCATGCCCAGTGAGACAACATGATAGGCAATGTGGATAAGGAGAATGGTTTGGCAGTGCATAGGGTGAAGAAGAAGTGGTCTGAACTCAAGGATGGTGTGGCAAGGAAGTCAAAGTAAGTTGTGCAATTCAATTGAGATGCTATATTTTGATGATAATTGTTCACACCAGGAAAAGGAAGACAGTTCCTTAAGCTTTTTGTAATTCATACTCTTTGTCAAAATTGTCTCATCATCATGTATATGTCATACTTCTATGTGCAAACATGCTTGAGCTATCCAACTGTATTTGCTGGCAGAAACACAATTAAGTTGTAATTAATATGGTGGACACAAGGAGTTGCAACATATTGCATCTTGAGAGGAGGCTGAAAGAAAGGCTCAGACTTCTGTGGTAAGAAGGCTATAATATTAACAAGCTAACCTGAAAGAAAGGCTTAAGGTAGAACATCAGTAAGGTAGCTATGGAGTTAACATAGTGAACACACCTCAGACTTCTGTGGTAAGAAGGCTGAGGTGCATGAGGAAAAACTAACTGCCTAAGTGTGAAGAATTATTATGTAAGCTTGTACACTGTAAATAAACAAATTCACAGGGGACATATGTTCCAACATTGCAATGAAAGTAGTATAGACATTGCAATGGGTGTTGCAACATTACAATGCATTGCAACAAAAGGGGCAAGGGCACTACAATGCACTGCAATGAAAGTAGTATAGACATTGCAACAAAAGGGGCAAGGGTGCTACAACACATTGCAATGAAAGTAGTATAGATGTTGCAATGAGTGTTGCAACATGCTGCAACAAGATTAGTATGATTGTTGAAACATTGACAAAATGTTGCAACATGTCATAGCCATGCCTTGACCCTGGCCAGACTTGGCCTCGTGTTCATTCAGTTCAGCCTCAGCCTTGCCAACCCCATACCTCCAGTTAGTCTAGTGCAGTGAACACTGCTTTGCAGTGCATGTCACTTTGGTTAAGTTCTGCCCAGTCTTGTCCCCAGTCTGCTCTGTCCTTGTCTCCATTGTCTTTGTCATACATTACTAATATTTGTCTTACCAATCATCTTAGCAATCTTTGTGAGACTGGCATTACTGGTCTCTGGACTATAGTTGTCTCTAGTATATAAGCTTGTAGACACTCAGCCTGTACCCCAACAGTCTGAAATCAACTAAGTTACTCTGATAATCTCACCTTGGCCTTGGACTTGGACTGAGACCCACACAAGGGAATAGTGCTGTAGCCTCAGTCACTAAGTCCAACCAGTCCACCCCTCTGTACCTTTGTCTTCCCCCCTGACTCTGACCCCTCAGCCTTGCACCTGCTTTGGTCTCTGGTCTGGCCTCAACCCAGACAACCATGAACTTGACAGTATTTCAGACTTGCCACTTGTGTGGGTCTAGCATATCATGGAAACCAAGACTTGTTTCCAACCTCCCCATGGCCACTTGGCCACCAACCCTGACTCTGCCTCCACCAGTGGAGCCTGCCACAAGACAGCACTAGCTGCCTTAGGCACCACTAGGTGCTCTCCAGATCCCATCAGTCCTGTCAGGGACTTCTCAGCCCAGACATCTAATACCCCCACCCCATGTTGTCCCACTGCTCCCATCCCTGAGGATGACCCCAGCGATGATGGACTGGGCAACAATGATGATGATAACCCTGATGATGACCCCAGCAATGGTCCCAGTGATGATGGGCCTGGTAACACTAATCTGGATGAGAATGACCTGGAGGATGAACCAGACTTCCCAGATCTGGACACTGAACCTGCAGTTGTGGTCTTCAACAGTCTTGCAAAGGCCATCAAGCTACTGGCCTGCAACACCTGCACTAGTCCTGAATCCTCAAGCAGGACTAAGTTGTGTGAGCCTGATACCTTCAATGGCACTGACCCCAAGAAGCTTCATGCTTTCTTCATCCAGTGCAAGCTTAATTTCCAAGACTGACCCTGGGCTTTCAGGACTGACTGCACCAAGGTCATCTTTGCCCAGTCCTACCTCAAAGGCATGGCCTTAGAGTGGTTCCAGCCAGACTTGCTTGGACTCAACAACCTCAATGACCAGCCTCTCTGGATGGACTCCTGGAGGGAGTTTGTCCTAGAGCTACAAACCACCTTCAGCCCTCATGACCCAGTTGCTGATGCTGAGAACCAACTTGACCATTTACACATGAAGGATGGTCAGTGCATTAATAAATATGTGGTGGACTTCAATTGGCTTGCTTTGCAAGTCCAAGGCTATAGAGATGGTGCACTGTGAGTCAAAGTGTGGTTCAGTGGTGAAAACCAACCAAAACCAACACGAAAGACAAAAAGAGCAAGTGGTGGTGTGGCTATGCAGTACCTAGATGGTAGAACCTGTTCTTTGGGAGGGTTTTTGTGAGTTACAACACTCAAAGATGAGTGCTGAGGGTTGGGGGTGCTCCTGATGAAGGAGCAGGAATGTGAGAGAATGCGATAGGGTAGACTGCTGTCAGCCTACAGAAGGATGGATGACAACTTAATTCAATGTCCTAAGCTGCACTGAGCTCAGGGAGGGCTTGGAGGAAAGTATATTGATGATAGACAAGGATAAGCAAAGTAGATGATAGTTAGACCCTTAATAAAGTCTCAACTGTTGAAGCTGCTGAATGAATTACTGAGTGATGATAAAATGCAAGCAAGAGGGGCTCTCTGACATCTTCTCCTTTTTTGCTATCTAAGTACAGTGATTTATATACAGTACAGGGGTGTTGCCCTTGGAAAACAAGGTGCAAACACTTGGTAAGCGATTGGTAACTGATGAGTAAGGAATGTAAGCAATGGGTAATCATCTTGGAAAGCATTGGTAAGCATTGGTAAGGATTAGCAAGCCAAAAAGTGAAGAATCAGTAAGCAAGGTCAAAAGATTGGTAAGTATTGGCAATAGGTGAGTCAAAGACAGTCAGAATGTCAAAGTATGAGTCAAGTGATGTCAGGAACTGGGAAAGCACACTGGAATTGCATTAGGGGGAGGCTGTGCATGTCACATCTCAAAGAGATTGCTTCTAGGCCATGGTGGGATGACAGAGAGGCAGTGCTGATCTGATGCTGATATAGTACATCCAAAAGTGGACAGGGTGAGTCAGATGTCAACAGGGGTCAAGCTTTGGGGGTCTGTGGGGTGACAGGAGCATAGGGGATCACAAATTTCCCCCCCAAACCATCCTCTCAGTGAAGCAAATTAAAACTTCATGAATGAGGCTCTGTTGGAAGAGAGGATGAATGGGGAGTGTCTTCTGCTGTATCTTGCAACAAGGAGGCAAGATGTGCATCATACTCATCATGGATGCGATCAGGGAGAGTGGGGAACAGTAGATTATACTGTAGCTGTCGCAATCTTGGAAGAATGATGGATGAGACCAGTATGAAGATATTGCAGGGAGCAGGGAGGAAGGATCCATATGCTTCTTGGACTGGAGAGACTGAAATGACCACATAAGACCTTTCCAAGTGAATGACAGACCTGAGGCGACCAAAGAACATCCTCCTAGGGGTCATACTGACAAAAAGAACATGCTGTCCAAGCTGGATGGGCTGAGAGGGCACAGACAAGGGTGGGATGTACCAGGATGCTTCAGGATGGAAGCTGGTAGGAACTCCTGGTAGATATATGTAGCCATGGTCCCTAGCAAAGGGGACAAGCAAAATGATTGATGTAGAGGCAGCCATATCAGAAGAATTTAGCAAAATGAGCATCTTTTGGAGGGAGTGCTGTAGAAACGTGTGGAGTGTGCAAATCCTTTCCAATTTTGGAAGGTAAGATCATGTGGCTGAGCAATACAAGCAAGTGTGGGAATGGTCTTGGTATCTGCAGAAATGGTGGAGATATGTCAAAAACCAGAATGCCATACATGGGTGCTTAACAATTTTAGCTAGCACTTAACTCACTCCCTTTCTTTTTCTCTGGCACTGATGACTTGTTCTTGTGCAAGGGATGACTGCCAACATTCCTGGCTGTCCTTCTTCACATGAGGGCTATGGTCTTCATCTCCATTCATCAGCTGTATCCATGTCCACCTCACCAAACACCTTTGGTGTGTGACAGCACTATGCCATCACTTCTACTCTGGCCTCCCAGACTGAATCAAAGATGAGGTCTGTTGGGTTGGCAAACTCCAGACACTTCACAAGCTCTGCCACCTTGCCCAAGAGATAGATGCACACTATTGGGAGTGCAAGGAAGAAGTCCAGTGGGCAAGCAGGCACCAAGGCTTGTCCAACTCTAGTAACAACAAGTCTGGCAGCTCTGGCAACAACAATCAGCCCAAGACTGGTCAGGAGAAAGCCATGACTGGCAGCAATAGTAACAATAACTCCAGAACTTCCCCCAAGCTGGTGTAAGTTAGGTATAAAGCAATCCTAGGGAGTGCAGGGGACTCCTAAGGCTTGACAGGAATGGGTCTAGTTCAACCCAGAGGGGTTCTGAGCTTGGAGTGGTGAAAAGAGGTGAAGGAGGGACTGGAGTTGGTCAGAAACAAATGGAGTGGGGAAATGAGTGAATAATGTTGTTTGGAGGTCATCTGGGGGTGCCTCAATGAGGGCTTGTCACAGTCTTTTGCTCGCAGTCTTTACTTCTCACTGTCTCACAGTCTGGTTCTTCTTCTTTTTTTTATTTGCATACTCCAGATCTACACTAGTGTGCAAAAACACTGACTAAGCTACCAAAAATGCGCCACACAGGTAGGCTAAGTATCACTAATGTAAATCAAAGCAAAAATACAGTAGAAAAGATAAATAACTAAATCCCCTTAGTAGGGAGTACCTATTCCCTACACCAGCTTCATCAAAGTCAGGCAATAACAGCAACTCATCCAAGCCCAAGCCTAGCAAACTTGGGAAGGATGGGAAGCTCACCCCAGAAGAATGCAAGTGTCATATCAAGGGCAATCTCTGCATGTTCTGTGGAGGTCCTGGCCACTTCACTGAGAAGTGCCCCAAGAAATCCAGAAGAGCCAAGGCTCATGCTGTGGCTACCACCGAGACCACACTGGCCTCAGGCTTGGGTTCTACCCCCAAGACAAAAAAATAGGTAGCAGCTCCCAGGACTCCACACAATCCAGGAGCTGTGTTGACTCTGGTTGTGCAAACTTGGAGGCTCATCTCAACACATCTGCTCTTTCTGGTGTGAGTCAAAGTGAGGTTTAGTGGTGAAAACCAACCAAAA